AGAGAACGAAGTGGAGGAGCCTCTCCTCAATGCTTGGGCTGCCAAAAGGCAGGAGTGGCTACTCAGGAGGAGGGAGGTCTACTCGAGAGTAAGGCTTGAGGATAATTGGCCGCTCCCTTAGCCTATTTAAGTCGCAAGCAGCTAGTGCTTTCTTGCTAGAAACAACGTCTCATTACTACAGAGCATCTTAGAGAGAGAGCGACTTCTCATATCTGGTTTTCTGGTCTGATTGCCAACCTTTGTCGGACTTTGTTCTTAATAACTTTGATAAGGACCCTTTGCACGGGAAGCCTGCATTCTTGAAAGGGGTTTGTTTGGAATTAAACAGTGTTTGCGAAGTTTGGTGTGTGTCACATTCTCTGGGAATCCGAAGCTGGGGCAGAACAAGAAAAGAATAACAGAGGCAGGGGTGAAATCTACTTACCTTCCTTTTACCGATTCGGAAGCACACGCGTCGTGCGAGCGTGTTTGCTTTGCTTGCGTGCGCGTGTGCATCACATGTGCGCAGACCTTCCGTGCATGTGCAAAACGTTCTGCGCATGCACGGAAGGTAAAAAACACGTAACTTCCGGGCTTCGCTCCACCATTGCTACCAGATTGTCGAACCACCGGCTAAGATCGCTACCGGATAGGGCGATCCAATTCGATCCGGGAGCATTTCATCCCTGCTTGGAGGTCTTCCAGTCCAACCCGCTGCTCAGACCGGAAACCCTATACCGTTTCAGACAAATGCTTGTCTAATCTCGTCTTTAAAACTTCCAGTGTTGGAGCATTCACAGCTTCTGGTTGCTTCCATCCTCCTCCCTCAGGCCTTCTTCATTAACTTCGGTCTGCTCCTCTATTATCAGAAAAACCTGGCTGCTTAAGCCTGAGTGGCGTAGGAGGCTAATGCCTCCTACTAAGGCAGCATTTAACATCCAGCTGCCTGCAATTACTGTGAGTTCAGTTCTCACCAGGCTCAAGGTCGACTCAGCCTTCCATCCTTTCTAAGGTGGGTAAAATGAGGACCCGGTTTGTGGGGGCAATAAGCTGACTTTGTATAAAATATACAAAAGTATGAAGGCTATTGCTTAACGCACTGTAAGCCGCCCTGAGTCTCCGGAGAAGGGCGGCATATAAAAATAAAATAAATAAATAAATAAATAAATACATTTCTGTCCACCCATCTGCCTGAATTGGCCCAAAGTGTATGGGGGTGGTGTGGTGGGAAAGCTGTATGTGCCATTAGAAAGTTAAACATGGTTGTTTAAAAATGGATGGGGGGATCCCACATTGTACCTCTACACACACACACACACACACACAGAGGAATCTCCCTCCAGAAAACCCTTGTTCTTTTTATGACTTGGCACTGCCCATCCCTACCAGTGGCACTCAGTCTCAAAAATCCTAACGATGCCCACATTGGATAGCTAAAGTGGTCCAGCCCAGCCACTGGGTGAGATCATCTGGAGATTCTGCCATCATTCTAAGTCTAAGAAGATTCCCATTTCTCTTCCACCTTGGCGCTGAAGCGAGAGAAAAGTCTGTGCTGGATAAGCGACTGGAAGGATTTATGAGCTGGATGAGGGCCAAAAATTGATCCCGCTCAAGGAATTCTTAATTCTCAATCAGAATAGAGCTGGAAGGGACCTTGGAGGTCTTCTAGTCCAACCCCCTGCTCAAGCAGGAGTCCCTATACCCATGATAGCAAACCTATGGCACGCGTGCCACAGATGGCACGCAGAGCCATATCAGTGGGCACGCGAGTTCAGCTCCGGTGCACTTGTGTGCTGGCCAGCTGATTTTCGGGCCTTCTGGGCCCACCAGAAGTCTGGAAACACCCTGTTTCCAACCTCTGGAGGCACTCTGGGGGTGTGGGGAAGGCTGTTTTCGCCCTCCCCAGGTTCCTAGAAAGGCTCTGGAGCCTGGGGAGAGCAAAAAATGGGCCTTCCGGTTCTACTGGAAGTTGGCAAACCAAAAACAGGGGGAGTATGGGGGGGGTCATGCGTGCAAGTGGGGGGACGGGGCGCATAGAATTATGGGTGTGGGCACGTGCGCTCATGACCCCCCCCTATACCATTTCAGATAGGTGGCTGTCCAGTTTTTTCTTCAAAAGCTCCAGTGATGGAGCACCCCCAACTTCTGAAGGCAAAGCTGTTCCACTGGTTCATTGTTCTCAGTGTTAGGAAGTTTCTCCTTAATTCCAAGTTGCTTCTCTCCTCGATTACTTTCCCTCCATTGTTTCTCGTCTTGTCTTCTGGTGCTCCGGTAAATAGGTTGACCCCTTCTTCTTTGTGAATTGAGTGACCTGATAGCAGCGTTCCAATATCTGAGGGGCTGCCACAAAGAAGAGGGAGTCAAGCTATTCAAGATTTTATTTAAATATACGACCACCCATCTGAAGTAACTTTGGGTATCTGACAATAAATAAGTAAATAAAGTAAAGTGGAAAATTTGTTAAGTTTTGCTCCATTTTAAAACCTTTCTTGCCACAGTTGTTAATTGAATCTGGCATCGCCCCATTGACTTTGCTTGTCAGAAGTTTGCAAAAGGGGATCACATGACCCTGGGAAACAGCAACGGTCTTATGAACCAGTTGCCAAGCATCTGAATTTTGGTCACATGATCGTGGTGATGCTATCAAGGCGGTAACTGAAAAATGATCATAAGACACATTTTTCAGGGCCATTGCAACTTGGAACGGTCACTAAATGAACCGTTGTAAGTTGAGGATTACAGGTAGTCCTCAATCTACGACAATTGACCCAAAATTTATGTTGCTAAGTGAGAAATTTGTTAAGTGAGTTTTGCCCCATTTTATAACTTTTCTTGCCAGATTTATGAAGTGAATCAGTGCAGTTGTTAAATTAATAATATGGTTGTTAAGTGAATTAGCTTTCCCCATTGACTTGGCTTGTCAAAATGTCACAAAAAGGTGATCACATGACCCCAGGACACTGCACGTCATGTCATTTATTTATTTATTAATAAATAAGTTCAATTTATATGCCGCCCTTTTCCGAAGACTCAGGGTGGCTTACAATGCACTTATAGCACTAGCCTTCATTCTTTTGTATATACCTGCTTATTAGGACTTTTGGCCCCTTATAAGCGGCGTTTCTACAAAGTCAGCTTATTGCCCCCACAATCCGGGTCCTCATTTTACCTACCTCGGAAGGATGGAAGGCTGAGTCAACCTTGAGCCTGGTGAGATTTGAACTCACACTAATTGCAGGCAGCTGGCAACTAAGTGCTACATAACAGCACTTTAGTTCGTTGCACCACCAAGGCTCTTCATAAATGTGAGTCAGTTGTCAAGTGTCTGGATGTAAATCATGTGACCAGGGGATGTTGCCACAGTCATTAAGTGTGAAAAATGGTCATTTTTTTCATTGCCGTTGTAACCTTGAACGGTCACTAAGCGAAGTTGAGGACTACCTGTACCTGTACTGTTCTACATGACGGCCTGAAGCCAAGCTGAGAAGCCTGAACCACAGTTTTCTATCCTCCCTAAACTTCCAGCATCAGCTTCCTTACAGACCAGGGGTCTCCAACCTTGGTAACGTTAAGACTTGTGGACTTCAACTCCCAGAATTCCTCAGCCAGCTTTGCCAAGTTTGGAGAGACCCCCTGGTACAGACTACCAAGGAGAAGAGCGGTCATGCAGGAGACGACCGCTAGGGGCGATCGCGCGCTCGAGAAATACCCCATTGGGAAAGGACCAATGAAAAAGCAAGAGTTGGGCCTTCCGGAAATGCCTCTCACTTCCTGTTGTTTGCCTGATACTTTCTAGCCGGGAAGGAAATCGCCAAGACAAGTCAGGATTCTCGGCCGTTCTCCCCATCTCCTATGGGCGTTGCTGAGCAGCCGACAAGAGAGAAAGGCAGCGGCCTAGACTTCCGCCGGCCTTCTGGTTACTTCCGGTACGGTTGGTGGCGGGGTGGGGAGGGTGGATGGGTGGGATGACGACTCCCCTGTCGCCCTGGCTAGATAGCTCAGGTGCTTAGACAGTGGCTGAACTTGTTGATCAGAAAGGTCGGCAGTTCGGCGGTTCGAATCCCTAGTATAGGTCTCCTGCGTGAGCGGGGGGGTTGGACTAGATGACCTCTGAGGTCCCTTCCAACTCTGTTAACGTAACTCTGAAGGCGCTGTGCGAAAAAGGGGCGAGGGCCTTTCCTTGGAGACTGAAGGGGCCTCTTTGACAGGCTTGAGGGCCACGCTGGGCGGGTCTGATTCAGCTGAGGTGGGATGGAGCCGGAGGCGTTTTTTTCCCCCGGCTCGTTTAGTGACGGTTCACTAAGTGACAACATGGCTGAAAAAAGTGGCTCGTGACAATTTTTCACACTTAACGACCGTTGTTAGAAAGAGGCGCCTTTCCTTATGCGGGACGTGCGGAGCAGCCACTCAGGGCTTTGAGGGAAATGATTAGGAGAGCCGGACGTCTCCTGGTCCTCCATGGAATACAGGAACTCCTCGACTTACAACAGTTTGTTTAGTGACCGTTCAATGTTATACAACGGCATTGAAAAAAAGTGACTCGTGACCGTTTTTTCCACACTTGCGACCTTGATCACGTGGATCAAAATTCAGCCGCTCGGCAACTGACTCATATTTATGACGGTTGCCAATGCCTTGGGAGTCATTTGCGACCTTCTGGCCGGCAAAGTCAATGGAGAAGCCAGAGTTGCGTAAAAACAGCTTTTACAACTTTTATGGCCACAGTTGAGCCCCAAATTTCTGTTGCTAAGTGAGACATTTGTTAAGCAAGTTTTGCCCCCATTTTACAACCTTTCTTCCCTCAGTCGTTAAGTGAATCATTGCAGTTGTTAAGTTAGTAACGTGTTGGTGAAGTGAACCTGGCTTCCCCGTTGACTTTGCTTCTCAAAAGTTCTCAAAAGATGATCATATGATCCTGGGACGCTGCAACAGTCATAAGTATGAATCGGTTGACAAACATCTGAATTTTGATCACGTGACCGTGGGCGATGCTACAGTGGTCGTACGTGTGAAAAATGGTCACAAGTCACTTTTTTCAGTGATGATGTAACTTTGAACGGTCACTAAATGAACTGTTGTAAATCGAGGACTGCTTGAACTAACTTATCAAGTTGCCCTGTTGGAATCCTGCATACATAATGCTGCAATGGCACCTCACCCATTTTTAAATACATGAGATACAAAAAATGAAAGAGTAGCGGGAATAAAATGGGTACATGTGATAGGACTGGCTGTTAAAAGGATTTAGTGATGACTTCCTTGCTCTGGATTAAATTGTATTGTATCTTCTTTTATATTTCGGAGAACAAAACTAGCTTCCTTTAAGCTTCTATTTTCATTTGTGGGAAGATTTTGTCCAGAATCTTCCATGGTTAAGGGTGATTCTTTTAAATCCTTTCTTTCTTTGGATATGCATCATGCGATAAAATGTAATTATTTCCTGATTGGAAAAATGAAAAAAAAAAGTCAAATAAATGACTTTATTTAAACATGAACAATTTTTTTAAAATTTCACAATCATCCCTTTGGAATGAACTGCCCCAAGATACGAAATATCCTTGATCTCCGTGCTTTCCGCCGTGCCCTCAGAACCCTGATGTTCCAACAAGCGGGGCTAAACATATGAACATGTGAATGTTTTTAAAATGTTATCTAATTTTAGGTTCTATTTAATTGGGCCAAACTTTGTTATAATAATAATTTTAATTAGCAATTTTATGATGTTTGTGTATCTATATTTTTCTTGACTGTTCACCGCCTTGAGTCCTATGGGAGAAAGGCGATATAGAAATATAATAAATAAATAAATAAATAATAGATAGCTTACTAATTGGTACTGCGATCAAAAAGTTTTGCTGCATTTTATAATTGTACTTATCAATTCCCTCAGATATCTATTTTAAATACGATGTATTGAAAGACAAACCATTGCTGAGGAAGCAATGAATGACCCAAGATCTGCTGGGACAGATCGGGAGCCGGGAGGAACAGAAAAAAACACTAGTGGAATTCACCGCCAACATAAGGCAGAGCAGCTGAGATGGGGAGCGTCACAACATTGCCGATGGGAGACCTGTCACGGGATGCAGGAGCGCTGGGAAGCCCAGCTCCAGCAGTTCCTGAAATCTCTGCAGCCCATTTTAGCAGGACGGGGAAGCTCTGGAACGTCCGAGGCTTCTCCCTGGGAGGACACTAAGGAGTTTCTGGCCTCCTTTGAGCAAGTGGCCAAAGCTTGCCGATGGCCTCGGGACCAGTGGGCGGCCCACCTCCTGCCGGCCCTGAGCGGAGAAGCGGAAGAGGCCTTCCGAGATCTGGAAGCCAGAGACCAGGAAAACTATGAGAAAGTGAAGGCTGCCATCTTACGAGGGGAAGCCCTGAGAACGGAGAGGCAGCGGCAGCACTTTCGGCAATTCTGCTGCCAAGTGGTAGAGGATCCCCGGAGGATCCACAGCCAACTCCAGGAGCTTTGCCGCCAGTGGCTGAAGCCGGAGAAACGCACCAAAGAGCAGATCCTGGAGCTGCTGATCCTGGAGCAGTTCTTGGCCAGCCTCCCACCGGAGCTCCGGAGTTGGATCCAAGCCAGGAGGCCGGAGTCGTGTTCCCAGGCGGTGGCCCTGGTGGAGGACTTCTTGATGAGTCAACAGGAGGCCAAAACCAGGACATCTCAGGTGGGTTTTACTTTCCAGATCCTCAAGTTTCTAACAGGTTGAATCACCTTCAGTTATTAATTGAAACCTGAATAATTGGAGATGTTATTTTTTTTAAAGATTATTCTAAATAAGAATATGTCTGCAATGTCTCTTCATACTCTCATCAGTATGGCGATGATTAGTTACAGCCTGCTCAATTCCATAATATTTTGAGTAATGTTGTATGTAAACAATTCATTTCAAGAATGGTTCAGTTACCCTATGAGGAAAAAAATACAGGTATTCCTCGACTTACATCACTTCGCTTAGTGACTGTTCAAAGTTACAACTGTGTTACTAACTGGCTTAACAACTGCAGTGATTCACAACTAATGTGGCAAGAAAAGTCGTAAAATGGGGCAAAATTCACAACAAATTTATCGCTAAGTGATAAATTTGGGGCTCAATTCTGCTCGTAACATACACATACACATGTACACACACACACACAAACACACACACACTTTTACTATTTTTTGTGTGCCAAAGGCATCGAGGCTTAAATGCTCCCAGGGCTATGCAATGCAGTTCAAGGTTGCCTTTTTTGAATACTGAACAGAGATTGTGGGCAGAAATGGCCAGGGGTATAGCTTTCGTCATTTATATAACCATAGTTTGTGAACAAGCCAAAATTAGTCACGTATCATCCTAAGGCCCGGATTTTTCAACTACGGAGGCTGAATTCTTACAGCACAGATAGTCCTCGATTTACAACCAAAATGGGGAGCAGAACATCCATTGCTAAGAAGTGCAGTTGTTATGTGACTTGCACACAATTTTATGGCTATCTTTGCCACCGCCGTTAAGTGACTTATGGTCGATAAGTGAATCTGGCGTCCCCCATTGACTTTCTTAGACAGACCCCCCCCCCTGGAAAAGTTGCAAATGGCAATCACATGACCCTGGGACCATCCCAAATACATGGTGGTCGCCAAGCGCCCAGATTTTGATCACATGACAAATAGAACTGCAACGGCTGTAGGTGTAAGGACCAATCAGAGGTCACTGTTTATAACACTGTTGTAGTTTTGAGCAGTCATTAAATGAGTGCTTGTAAATCGGGGACTACCTGTAAACCAGTGAGCCAGAGTAGCTGTGGTGTCTTCCCTGGGACGATTCCCCAGATACCTATCTTAAAGATTTCAGCTGGGGGGGTGGATGAACCTGTTCTTCAGGAGCTGAGCTGGAGGATGAACCTGTTCTTCAGGAGCTGAGTTCATTGATGGCTCTGAGCAGCCCTCTGGAAGGGATTTGCCTGAGGCTCCAGCTAGGGAAAGCATGCAGTTGCAGACTTCAATCAATCAATCAATCAATCTGTCAGCACTTCAAGCTGCATTTACTCTAGTGCTGACATAAGAAGGAGAAGCGGAGACGTCTGGAAAGGGACGTTTGACTTTTCACCTACTTATTTTCCCTGGAGATAATATCCCCTAGGAGATGGGATGGGAGGGGGGAAATTCCTTTGAGCTGGAGCAGTAGATTAGGGGTAGAGTGACTTGGAAGATGGCCAATGAGTGCAGAGGAGCGGGGAAAGGAAAGGGAGGGTTTTGGGTCAGGAAGTCAGTGTTGGCTACGATGGAGTCGGAGTTAGAAGGTTGTGCTTAATAAATGGGAGTTTTTCATCAAAGACTTTGTTTGAAATGCAATTTATTTGAGATGACCTCGAAACCTGACACAATCAATCAATCAATCAGACTAGAGCTGGAAGGGACCTTGGAGGTCTTCTAGCCCAGCCCCCTGCTCAAGCAGGAGATCCTATATACCAGTGATGGCTAACCTTTTTGCCGTCGCGGGCCAAAAACAGGGGTACCATGGGGGAGTCATGCGTGCACGTGCCCACACCCATCATTCAATGCGCCCCACCCTCCGCGCATGCACATATGACACCCCCCCCACTTCCCCCACTTTTGGCACGTGATGGCACGGTGCACAAGGTAGGCCCGTTTTTCGCCCTCCCCAAGTTCCAGAGGCTTTCTTGGAGTCTGGGGAGGGCGAAAATGGCCTTTCCCACTCCCTTGGAGGCCTTCTGGAGGCCAGAAATGGCCCGTTTCCCGACTTCAGGTGGGACAGAAGGCCTGAAAATCAGCTGGCTGGTGCGCACATGTGCACTGGAGCTGAGCTAGGGCAATGCTTGCGTGCCCACAGATATGGCTCCGTGTGTCACCTGTGGCATGTATGCCATAGGTTCGCCATCATGGCTATATACCGTTTCAGACAAGTGACTGTCCAGTCTCGTCTTAAAAACCTCCAGTGATGAAGCACCCACAATGTCTGAAGGCAAAGCTGTTCCACTGGTGAATTGTCTTCAGGGTGGATTTGATTTAAATCGAGTTGATTTAAATCACAATTTAAATCATGATTTAAATCACTAGGAAAAAGGCTTGATTTAAATCAACTCGATTTAAATCATAATTTTTAAAGAGCAACTGTCATCTCTGCTCCTCCTTTGACCCACTGTTGACTCACCGATAGTCCCAGTGTTGCAGAATATACAGCCTCATGCTACATAACCAGGGTGGATAAAAATCAATGATTTTTTTTAAAAAATAAAAAAAATCAGATTTTTTTGATTTAAATCGGATTTTTTTTATTTAAATTGGATTTTTTTTATTTTTATCTAATTTATTTTAATAAAAAACTTTTGGGGTAAAAATCTATCGTAAGATAATTTTCTATTTAAGATGCATAAATAATTTAGTATATTCAGCATGAAATGGAGCTTAGTTATGTAGCACGAGGCTGTATATTCTGCAACTATCAGTGAGTCAACAGTGGGTCAAAGGAGTAGCAGAGATGACAGTTGCTCTTTAAAAATTATGATTTAAATCGAGTTGATTTAAATCAAGCCTTTTTACTAGAGATTTAAATCATGATTTAAATTGTGATTTAAATCAACTCGATTTAAATCAGATCCACCCTGTACGTAACTAAGCTCCATTTCATGCTGAATAAACTAAATTATTTATGTATCTTAAATAGAAAACTATCTTACGATAGATTTTTAGCCCAAAAGTTTTTTATTAAAATAAATTCGATTTAAATCAAAAAAATCTGATTTTTTTTTTGATTTTTTAAAAAAAATCATTGATTTTTATCCACTCTTGATTGTCTTCACTGTTAGGACGTTTCTCCTTCATTCCAGGTTGCTTCCCTCCTGGATTAATTTAATTAATTACATTGTAATTTAATCAGCCTGTTGATTAAACTTGATTAGTTTAATGACCCCCATGACTGTCAGAGAGGAGGAGGAGAAACTGCCTTTTCTACGCCTGATGTGAGAACACATAGGGCAGAAAAAAGGCAGGAGCAGAGAAGGTCATCCAGATTACTCTTCTTGATTAAAGGCTGTGCCGGAAGCTGGCTATTTAGCACTGCAGACAGAGGGAGGTGTTGCTGGAAACAAGGTGTTTGTTTCCTAGCTGTGTGTTTTCCGATTGTCGTGATTCCTGCCTCGCTTTGGATTGAAACCATGCCTTAACTTTAATTTGTCTTGGAAACTCTGGACTTTTCTTGACTGGTTGTGGATTTAAATTTGTCTGGTGGATTTATTCTGTTTGAGGAACTTTCAAGGACTCTCTTGCCACTCCTCTGGAGGCTAACGTTGGTCTGCTCGTGACTGGACTTAATTGAGACACTTCTGGGTTTTTTCGTGAAGGGAATTGCTGGGGAGTATTAATAAATTCACTACACCACAGTTATGTGTGTGAGTGAGCAGGGCAGCACAGCAGCTAATAATCACATATTGAATTGGCAAAATTCAGCTGAGGATGTTTTTAAGTTACCCAGGGTTATGGTGCATAAGGTGACTACAACAACCTTCGTTTATTGCGAAGGTTGTTGAGAGTGTGGTGGCGCGGCAGCTTCCACAGTACCTGGATGAAGCTGTCTATCTAGATCCGCTCCAGTCCGGCTTCAGGCCTGGGTACAGCACGGAAATGGCATTGGTCGCGTTGGTGGATGATCTCTGGAGGGCTCGGGATAGGGGATGCTCCTCTATCCTGGTCCTGTTAGATCTCTCAGCTGCTTTTGATACCATCGACCATGGTATGTTGCACCGGTTGGAGGGGTTGGGGGTGGGGGGCACCGTTTTGCGGTGGTTCTCCTCCTACCTCTCTGACCGGTCGCAATCTGTGTTGGCAGGGGGGCAGCGGTCGACCCCGAGGCGCCTTGTTTGTGGGGTGCCGCAAGGGTCGGTCCTCTCGCCCCTTCTGTTCAACATTTATGTAAAGCCGCTGGGTGAGATCATCTGTGGCTTTGGGATGGAGTTCCATCAGTACGCTGATGACACTCAACTGTACATCTCCACCCCAGGCCACCCCAACGATGCCCTTGAAGTGATGTCCCGGTGCCTGGAGGCTGTGTGGGCCTGGATGGGGAGAAACAGGCTCCGACTCAACCCTTCCAAGACCAAGTGGCTGTGGCTTCCAGTGTCCCGATATAGCCAGCTGGTGCCATCGCTGGGGGCGAATCATTGGCCCCCATGGAAAGGGCTCGCAACTTGGGCGTCCTCCTGGATACACTGCTGCACTTTGTCCCAAATATATCCTGGCACTGGTTAAAAAGGACTTGGCAATCTTATCCTTATAATGAGACAGCTAATTGACTTTCAAAGAGCCTGTGTTTTTTTTTTGTGTGTGTGTTTTTTTTTTTAAGCTGCTGTGATCTCCTTTTTTGCTGAAAAATCAGAAACCATGTTACCTTCTGAACTTCTCTCTCCCATTGTACCATTCTGTTTCCTGTTCCAAAGGTGCTTTTTCAGGAGGCAACTGGATTTTCTGGTTTTTCTTTGAAGACGTTTCGCTTCCCATCTGAGAAGCTTCTTCAGCTCTGACTGGATGGTGGGGAACGGAAGGATTGATACTCCTTGCAGAGAGCTGGTCATTTGCATCCTTTTTAGAGAATCACTGAGGCCACTAGGAGGTTTGTCGGTGTCCTCAGGGTCACCTGAGTAGTGCAGATGGGTGTGTTGTGGCTCCGTTACCTGAGCCTGTGTCATCGGCAGGAGAGGACTCCGAGACTGAAGGAGAGGAGTTGGCAAGGCCTCCCTCTCCAGGACCCTCCTCTCTGGCAATGCCTTCGGTGTCCGCCGAAGGGCAAGAGATAGGGCCGGGGCCAAGCACGTCCACGCAGACACAGATGGACAGTGATGAGGGTAATGAGTCTTGGCTGGATCCACACCAGTGTCACAGAGATAAGCACGCGCAACAGAAGAAAAGGCGTCCCCGAGATTAGGCTGAGTCACTGGACCACACCCCACGGTATAAAAGGGAGCGTGGTGGCCAGTCAAATCTTGTGACGAACAAAGCTGAAAGCTTCCACGCCATTCTGCATTGCCGGACTTTTGTTATAGATTTTGCTGGATTATCTTTGGACTTGATTGAGCTGTTTCTTTTGATGTACCAGAAGCGGGGAGACATTATCTCTCCTCTTCATAAGTAATAAACTCTTGGCAGGCAGCCACTAGGTTGTTGCCAAGTTCCATTATCGTAAGGAAAAGGATTTTGCCGGCTGGCTTGGTCTTTAACTCTTGAACGTCTGTTGGTGTGTGTGCGTGTGTGACGGGGACAGAACGGGGTGTGGAGCCTCCATAGAACTGCTGAAAGGACTGTTCCGAAGCTGTGATTTGTGCAGGATGTTTTCCGCCCTAGGCTTCTTCACTGTTGAAGACAGGCGTAGGGGATGAGTGGGGATGTTGGGGATGAGTTTGTGTTATTTGCATCTCAAACTGAAGCGCAAATGGTTCCTGGAGTCTGCAATTTTTCTCTGCAAATCCTTACTTCAGCTCCATTTGAGTGCCACCAAGTGGCCTCATCGACTCTCTAAAAGGATGCAAGTGACCTGCTGCCTGCAAGGAATATAAATTCTTCCATACCCCACCATCCAGTTAGAGCTGAAGAAGCTCTTCTTGGATGAGAAGCAAAACGTCCTCAAAAGGACGTTTTATCAGGTTCGCCTGATATGCCAGTTGCGCCCCTTTCTGGATCGGGACTCCCTACACATGGTCACTCAAGCACTCGTCACTTCCCGCCTGGACTACTGCAATGCTCTCTACATGGGGCTCCCCTTGGGGTGCACCCGGAGACTGCAGTTAGTCCAGAATGCGGCCGCGCGGGGGATTATGGGAGCGACGGGGCGCTCACATATGACACCTCTCCTGCGCGAGCTGCACTGGCTTCTGGTGGTCTTCCGGGTGCGCTTCAAAGTGTTGGTGACCACCTTTAAAGTGCTCCATGGCTTAGGGCCGGGGTATCTGCGAAACCGCCTTCTGCCGCCAATAGCCTCCCACCGACCGGTTCGCTCGCACAGAGAGATCCTCCTCAGGGTGCCGTCGGCCAGACAGTGCCGGCTGGCGACCCCCAGGGGGAGAGCCTTTTCTGTGGCAGCACCTGCCCTCTGGAATGAGCTACCCCTGAGATACGCACGATATCAGACCTCCGGACTTTTCATCGGGCCCTGAAAATAACACTTATTCCATCTAGCCGGGCTGGCTTGATCCCATCCTCTCAGTTTTAATTGAATTCGGTTTTAATTGGGTTGTTTTTAAATCTTGGGCCGAAATTATTTAACTGTTTTTTAAACTGCTTTTAAATTTTATATGCAATGTTTTATCTTGGCTGTACACCGCCCTGAGTCCCGCAGGAGAAGGGCGGTATAGAAATAAAATAAAATAAAAATAAATAAATAAATAAAAGAAAAACCAGAAAGTCCAATTGCCTCTTGAAAAAAAAACACCTTTGGGACATTCCTGACCTGGGATGACTAAGAATCTCCGTGGACATTCTGTTTCCTGTTTCAGGGTCCATTAAAAGAAGAGCCGGCGGACTTCCTAGTAGCCGAGAACGAGCCCCCGAATGCCGCAAAGGGAGCAGTCTGTGATGAACCTGAGCCAGATGTGGATGCCAAATTGCTGGGTCAGAAATCAGAAGCTCTTAACTTTTCTTCTGCTTTTCCTTTTGTGAGTTTTTATGGGTGACCCAATTTGGGGGTGGGGGGGGGGAGGAGCCAGGGGCAAAATTCCTTCAACCTCTTCAGCCTTGTGGAGGAGATAATTTGGGAAATGCTAGTCGAGAGTCGAGGATCAGAAAAGTTGCACCAGCTGAGTTCTAGAAGAACTGAATGCCCCCTATGTTCTATCCTCGCATCCGGTCAGACCTGTAAAACTTTGGTAATGAGGTATGTACCGTATTTTTTGGACTATAAGATGCACTTTTTTGTCTGAATATTGCCGAAGCCCCGCCCACCCGCCAGCCATTTTTTGGCCTTCGCACGGCCTGTTTCCGGGCCTTTTTTTGGCCCATTTGGGGGGCTTTTTCGGCCCGTTTTCAGGGCTTTTTTCAGCCTGTTTTTGAGGCATTTACGGACCGTTTTTGAGGTGTTTTTTACTCCGTATTTTAGGCTTTTTTTGGCCCATTTTTTGAGGCTTTTTTTGGCCTGTTTTTGAGGCTTTTTTTTGCCCCTTTTTGTGGAAAAAACAGGCCAAAAAAAGCCTCAAAAATGGGGTGAAAAAAGCCCCAAAACGATCCCAAAATACCCTTGAAAACGCCCTCAAAAAATGGGCCAAAAAAGACTGGAAAAGGTCCGAAAAAAGGGAGGCCAAAAACTTTTTTTTTTGTTATTTTCCTCTTCTAAATTTAGGTACGTCTTATAGTCAGGTGCGTCTTATAGTCCGAAAAATACTGTTATGTATTTATCAATCAAATTTTTTAACCTCCCATTTCCTTCATACAGGGGCTCTCTGTGAAACTTAACAATAGCCAACTCTGTATCTAAGCATGCCTTCATGATCAGAATCTTTCTCAATATTTAATTCTTAGCTGGCCCGGTTCATTTTTCTGAAGGAATTTTTTCAGAGCAATAATCCATGCAAGACCATTGCTGCAAAGAGGGCAGGATCTAAATTGATCGGTTAATCTTTGATATACACATGTGGTCCTCGACTTAACGACCACAGTTGAGCCCAAAATTTCCATTGCTAAGCAAGACAGTTGTTAAGCGAGCTCTGCCCCATTCTACGATCTTCCTTGCTACTATTGTTAAATGAATCACTGCAGTCGTTAGGTTAGCAGCACAGTTGTTAAGTGAATCCGGCGCTCCCCGTTGACTTTGCTTGACAGAAGGTCACAAACGGGAATCACATGGCCCCAGGACGCTGCAAAGGTCATAAATATGAACCGGTTGCCAAGCGCCTGAATTTTGATGATGTGAACATAGGGATGGTGGTGTGAAAATGGTCGTAAGTCACTTTTTCCTGTGCTGTTGTAACTTCGAACAGTCACTAAATGAATAGTTGTAAAGTTGAGGATTACCTGTATACTGATGGTACAGGCTAACTGCCCACTGCCATGAGTTCAATCCTAATCAACTCAAGGTTGACTCAAGTCTTCCATCCTTCCGAGGTGGGTAAAATGACGACCCATGTCGTTGGGGGCAACAGGCTGACTCTCTAAACCACTTAGGGCTATAAAGCAATGTGAAGCAGTATATAAGTCTAAATGCTATGGCTACCTCTCTACAAAGAGGGTTAATTTGTTAATTGGTCAGCTAGTTAAAAGGCTAGTTAAGACTAGAGTGAGGGAAGGAGGGGAGAAGAGAGGAAAGGAGAGAGAGGGATAGAAGAGAGGGAAAAGGAAAAGAAGAAAAGGGAGGGGAAAGAAGAGTAGGAGAGCGGGCTAGAAAGGGAGGAAGAAGAGAGGAGTGGGGGAAGGGGAGGAGAAGTAGAAGGGGAGGAGAGGGGGAATGAATAAAGGAGAAAGGGACAGAAGAAGGAAGAGGAGGGAAGAAGAAGAAGAAGAAGAAGAAGAAGAAGAGGGAAGGTTGTGGTAAAACAAAGAAGAGGAAATGGTAAAAGAACAGCCCCGAACAGATAAAAATGAAAGTTAAAGGATAGGATGAATGATCAATGATTAATGATGGATAAGAGACTGTACACTTAAATATGTTTATGAGAAATAAAAATAAAAAATTTATCAAGAAAAAAAAAAAAGGCTAGTTAGGTACAAGAAAAACTAACCAACAAAAGATGGTTTTCGCAAGATTCGTTTTTCTCGCCATGTATATGTATATATCCGAACTGGACTGTGTTGTTTCTCTGTGTCATATAATATATGTGGGTATGGACATAATTTTGTATTTATTTATTATTTATTTTGTCATGTTTAATGTAGTGTATATAGGAGGTGGTGACCCTTTGAGAGCTGTAGGCAATGAAATTTCATTTTAATTTTTGCAGATTAGTGTATGTTCAAAGTGACAATAAAATTATTCTAAATTCTAAGTCTAATAAATCATATTAATAATAAAACCCTCCTTCAAAAGGGGTCTGTTCTCCCTGCAAGGTAGTCCAGATAAGAAGCAGATAACCATGAGCGTCAGCTCTGTCTTTATTGTAAGGTTACGTTAACAAAATATTGCAAAAAGAAAAATATTTCTTCCCTCCTTTCCTTTTGCTCTCTGGAAAACAAGGGAGGGTAGCTTCTGAAATGTTTCTCACCCCCCTTCTCCTTCTGTGGGCCGAGATAATCTTTTACCCATGGCTCTGCGGTTTTTTCTTCTTTCTCCCAAGGCCATTCACACATATAGTAGTGGCCAAAATTGTGGAAACCTTTTGGGAAAAGTGTATTTTCTAAAACTAGCTAATAACACCACTTTTTTTTGCAGTAGTACTATAAAATTATATATCAGTGAGAAGATAATTTAATCAAGAATGTAATGCAATAACTTTTAGGAAGGATTTGCTATTAGAATAGCAGTTAAAAAAAGAAAAGTGAAACGAGATATACAAAAATTATCACCATAGAAAAAAACGAGATATACAAAAATTATCACCATATCAGTTAGTTGGGTAACCTTTAGCATGAATTACGGCCTTACAACATCTTCCCATGGAGTGAACCAAGTCTTTTAGTTCTGCAGCTGTTATAATGTGAAACCAAGATTGAATGATGGCTTCTATTAACTGGGTTTTATTACTGGGTTGCTTCTGACTAACAAGTTTCTTTAGTCGGCTTCATAGATTTTCAATTGGGTTAAGGTCTGGGCTATTCCCAGGCCATTCCAGCAGTGGAATATGATTATCTTGAAACTCCAAAAAAAAAAAAAAAAAGTGGTGTTATTAGCCATCAAACCTCAAAAATATACTTCTCCCAAAAAGTTTCCACAATTTTGGCCACTACTGTACCTTTATGATTCCTCCTGAATCCTGAGCAACTAGAAGCTCTTCAGCAGAAACGCCTTCTACTGTCATTGATTTAGAAGCTCCTTCTTCTTAGAACTTTCCCCCTATCCTCTTTTATAACATTAAAAAAAATAATAAACAAATAAAAGACTTCCTATTTTGAAATTCTCTATTAAAAAATCTCTTTTTTCGTTCTGCCTAGTCAATGGATTCAAACCTCCAGGTGTCTCTCTCTTGCTAACTCCTAAAGAAGTGAGCCAGACTGATGGGAAAGAGGTATGTGCCGTGTTTATGGTGTACAGATAGTCCTTGACTTACGACCACATTTGAATCCGAAATTACTGTCTCTAAGTGAGTTAAATGAGTTTTGTCCCATTTTACAACATTTTTGCCACTATTGTTGAGTAACAACTGCAGTTGTTAAGTTTGTAACATGGTTAGTAAGTTAGTAACACGGTTGTTAAGTGAATCTGGCTTCCCCTATTGACTTTGCTTGTCAAGAGAGTTGCAAAAGGAGATCACGTGACCCAGGGACACTGCAATAGTCATAAATATGAGTCAGTTAGTAATACGGTTGTTAACTGAATCTGGCTTCCCCTATTGACTTTGCTTGTCAAGAGAGTTGCAAAAGGAGATCACGTGACCCAGGGACACTGCAACTGTCATAAATATGAGTCAGTTGCCAAGCGGCAACTTTAAGTGTGAAAAATAATCACAAGTCACTTTTTTCAGTGCCCTTGTAATGTCAAACTGTCACTAAATGAACTGTTGCTAAGTCAAGGACTAGCAGTAGCATTTAGACATATTCACTGCTTCACAGTGCTTTTACAGCCCTCTCTAGGTGGTTTACAGAGTCAGCCTCTTGGCCCCCAACAATCTGGCTCCTCATTTTACCCACCTCGGAAGGATGGAAGGCTGAGCCAACCTTGAGCCTGGTGAGATTCGAACTGCCGAACTGCAGGCTGCCGGCAGTCAGCAGAAGTAGGCTGCAGTACTGCACTCTAACCACTGTGGCTCATATATATATATAGACTACCTACCGTGTTGTTGTTTTTTAACCCTGAAATAAGCACTTGGCCTTATTGCCATGCACTCAAAAGCCTGATTGGGCTTATTATCAGGGGATGTCTTATTTTGGGGGAAACAGGACAATTGTTTGTAGACATCAGGGCAATTGTCTAGAGTAGGGTTATCAAACACAAGGTGTTTAGATCTGGCCCGCGAGACTGTCCTGGAAACAGCAAAGGACCGGCCCGCAGTGCCTCTGCCAGCAAAAACAGAGCTTGGGAGCCCGTTTTCGCTGGCAGAGTGCTCGGGCCACCACAGGCGCCCCCGACACGAGTGACATTGAGCTGGCCATGCCCATCCCGGCTCCCCCGACATCAAACATAACCCTGATGCAGCCCTCAATGAAATTGAGTTTGACACCCCTGGTCCAGAGGGAAACAACATGTTCTGAGGAAGCCTGAAGCTTTGCCTTAAAGCCATTTTTTTCAGCGGAATCGTAACGGGATGATTAGTTTGTTAGATCCACCATTGGCCTCAGGGAAGCCTGCGCGTTGTTGCTGACAGTCAAAACGCAAAGTATTAAAGGGGGTTTTTTTTTTGTCTCTGTTGGTGTTTGCAGGACTCCAGGGATTTCAAGGAAACTGGAGGGTCTCTGCAAATCGTCAAGCAGGGCCTGACCCAACCAGGCCTACAACAGACGATGCTCTGGCAAGTCCTGCAGGAGGCCGACGACACCACAAACAGAGATAATTTGGGTAAGACGGTCTTCTTCTTGGATGCAGTGCCCCCACCAACACCACAGGTATTCCTTGGCTTGCAACAGATTTGGAAGTGTTGACGAATAAATTGAAACCTCGGCACCATATTTGTCCTTTAGCACAGCGTTCCCCAAGCTTTGCAGACCGGGGGGAGAGGGGATGGTCCTCCACGAGTGGTGGGTGCGCGTGCGCAGCTCCATTTGCACAAACAGTGGGCATGCACGCTTGTGCAAGTGAAGCTGCGCACGCACACACACACATTTTCACCCCCATCCCCACCTCACTTCTGCAGCCCTCTTCCAAACAGGTTGCGGCCTGATACTGTGCTGCGGCCCAGGGGTTGGGGACCTCCTGCTCTAGCATGCCTCTTTGTTTCCCCAGGGAATGAAATGGGAAATTACATCAAAGTTGAGATTTCTCAGGATGGAGAAACTGAAAGAGAAGATGCTTGCAGGATGGAGCCGCAGACCAGCTACAGCCACGTGCCTGTAAAAGGCAAGAGGCTGGGAGGAAGATCTGAGCCACAAGGAGCATCGCCGCAAGGAGGAGCAGGAAAGGGATGTAATGAGCTGGCAGAAGTTCATCGGAAGAGATACCAGAGAACTCCCCTTCCGCATTCCTTCCCTAGGGAGGGCAGCCATGGGGTCCCGAAACCCCCCTCGAGCAAACCCCCCTCCCTAAAGAGACCCCGCACCAGTCCGGAGCACAGCGTGGTGTGGAATCACTTTGAGTTGGATTCAGAGGACCCCTGTTACGGCATCTGCACTCACTGCAAGAGACGGATCAGCCGAGGCAAGAACTCAAAACGTTTTTCAACGTCGGGGCTGCTGAAACATCTGCAGCGGCATCACGCCAACTTTGTCCCGGCTGTCATTACCGCACCACGAACTGCGTTGCCGACTAGCAGAAAGGCGAAGGGACCTGTCCTGCCGCAGTGTTGGACGAAGAAGAAGTCAGCCGGGAAAAGGCAGGCCGGTCCAAAGCCTTCGGAAGTGACCTGTGCTGTTGATCAGATGGTGGCTTTGGACGACCAGCCTTTCCGCATGGTGGAGGATGCAGGTTTCCAACACCTCCTGAAGTTGCTTGCCCCTAAATATAAAATCCCGTCCTGTGCCACCTTCAGCAGACCGATCGTGCCCTCCCTGTATCAGGCCTGCAGGGAGGAGGCCTTGGGGATGCTTCAAACCCCAGGACCCCCTGCCAGTGTGAACGTGAGCTCCGATGAATGAATGAGAGCCGGTTTTCTTCCTTCCTTTGATATATAGTTGCTCCTGTGAGCACCTGTAGGGGACCGGTGTTGGTTGGTGGTAGGGTAAACGATTTTAATTCACGATTTTAATTCACTGATGAAATCCAGCACACCCCCAAAATTGAAGTAATAGGCAAACGTGTCAGCAAAATGTAGAAAAGCAATGGAAAATGTGAAATAAATTATGCCTTGTATATATATATATATATGTGTGTGTGTGTGTGTGTGTGTGTGTACAGTTAATATCTCGGGTTTCTTCCCATGTAATTGTAAACATATCCTTAAAAGGGTAGTAGCGACGTTTCGACGAAATCACATTCGTCATCTTCTGGCTGTTCCAGCATAACTTATCCATTGACCCACAACCTAGCAACAGCGCTTCCACCTAATCAAAATACAGCTACGTCATCAGCCAATGAGAATACAACAACACTGTCGACCAATCAGAATACACCTTTGCCTCTTTTCATAGAAAAACGTCAGTTACAATCACACAGTTTGCCCATAAGCACCAAACCGAGAACATCAGCCGGAAAATGACGAATGCGATTTCGTCGAAATGTCGCTACTACCCTTTTAAGGATATGTTTACAATTACACGGGAAGAAACCCAAGATATTAACTGTACACACATATATACCCGTGAAAACTTACATACATACATACATACATACATACATACATACATACATACATACATATATATAAAGATTAGACCATAAAAAATGAATCAATTGCAGTGTCAGGACAGAAGAGTATTATTAATAAAAGAGCCGTGGTGGCACAGTGACTAGAATGCAGTATTGCAGGCAAACTCTGCCCACTGCCAGGAGTTCGATCCTGTCTGGCTCAAGGTGGACTCAGCCTTCCGTCCTTCCGAGGTTGGTAAAATGAGGCCCCAGATTGTTGGGGGCGATAGGCTGACTCTGTAAACCCCTTAGAGTGGGTTGTAAAAGCACTGTGAAGCAGTATATAAGTCTAATTGCTATTGTTATTGCTAATATGAATTAACCAATCAGTGGCAAACATAGAAGAAGCTTACAAATCCCTAACTTTCTCCCATTGTTTAACTTCAACATTCCGGGCAAACGGGTAACAAATCCCATTTGCCACTCCAATGGATAGTGCAAGATTCTTACCTCCTGTTTAGCAGAAGGGGGGAAAAAAAGCTGGCATACGTATTAGAGATTCCCACATCACAGTTCAAAGGTAGAAAGGTTTAGCAAATATGGAAAACAGCAAAGCTACAGAAGAAATCACTTCTACAAAGTGGCCAGAAAAGAACAATTGTTGTCCATTTTATTTAAGAGGAAGGAAATGTATGAAATGCAGTAATCTGGTGCCATCAGCTTCCAGCTATCTTAACAATATTTTGCACATCTGCGTTTTCTCACACATAGACCCTTTCTAGAGGTCTCCAAAATACCTGTGTGATATTATGAGGTAAACAAATAAAATACATTTGTCCCAATTTATACTAATTCCGAGATGGGGGAGGCGCAATGGCTCAGCAGTTAAGATCCTTGGTGGCCTTGAAATGAGTACCACCCCATATAGTCAGCTACGACTAGCAGAGTAAAATCCGCAAGGAGTCCTTTCCTTACTAGATGAAAAAGTTAATTTCTTGATCTCCCTTCTTAATTACCGCCTCATTCTCTTGCCTTGAGATTTCTTCCTAGAAAGCAAAGAGTCATGTTCTTGGATCCCCCTCCTCTTCTTGGCTGAGAAGGAAGTGACCTCTCAGCCCCTCGAGAGTTGACATTCAAGCCTTAACCAGAACTTGGAAGTGGCAAGAATGAAAATTAAGATAGTAATATAATCCTGAAGTGTAATATTGCACTAATTAAAAGCATAACACGGATGCTGGTTGAACGGATTGACTAGTAAAATGAATGTTCATTCCCAAAGATATAAAACAAAACATTTATACATCTCTATTTACCCACTATCAAGATAAAAATTTCAGAACAGTTTGGTAAAGAAAGTCCAAGTAACAACTGCCTACTTAAACACAAACTGCTTAAAATCTTTTCTCAACTTTTGTCTACTTGTCTTTTTTTCACACTCCGCACTGTTTCGTAAAGATCAGGACAGGTTAGTGTTCTGTCCCCGTCTCACACACGCACACAAACAGATAGTCAGGGGTTAAATAAAACTGGCAGACAACAAATTCTTTGGATAAGAGGATTGGCAGCAACCCAGTAGCTGCTTGCCAAGAACTTTACTCAGAGGGAGGGGTTGTTCCTCCGACAGATAAACCCAAACAAGATACACACAGTTCAAGAATTGTCAAGTCCAGTCCGTATTAAATCCAAGGCAGATAACGTTGTTTCAAAGATACAATGTGACTCGCTAGTAGTTTGTTTTGTCCGTCGCAGAGTCTGAATGGCCACCTCACCCCCTTTTATCCCCTGTGGGGTGTGGTCCAGTGACTCAGCTTAATCTCTGGCACGCCTCCTTTTCTGCTGCATGCGCTTGTCTCTCCGACACTGGCGTGGATCCAGCCAAGACTTATCTCCGTCACTGTCCTACTGCGAGGAGATACCTGGCTCCTGGCCAATCTCTTCTCCTCCGGGAGACACCTGAGGCATTGCCAGAGAGGAGGGTCCTGGAGAGGGAGGCCTGGCCAACTCCTTCATGTTCGGAGCCTTCTCCCTCCGATAAGTCAGCCTCGGGGGTTGAAGTCACAGCAGTTAGCTAAACTGTTTTCTTTTTAAGTGCTTGCTTTAATTTAATTCCTCCTCCTAAACTTTGATTTATGGGTTCAAGCAGCTCTTAATGAATCCTTCCTGGAGTACGATTGTGAGATTGGTAGGTAAGCACATCTTAACCTTCAGCAATGATCTCTCTTCTGGTCTGCATCTTTAAGATGAAAGGGGGGGGGGAGGAACCAACCCCAAATCTTTAAAGCAGGAGTTTGGTTCTGGCTTCAACAACCCTTGATTCTTGTATCTTTGTTTTATTTCAATTTGTGTAGAGTTTCCTAACGTAAAACAATTTGTAATTGCACACTTACCAACCTATTCAAACATGAAGCAAGTACAGTATGTACTGGTATGAAAGTCATCAATATCTCAGAATTTGACTTGCAGGATTTTAAGAGGCATATAAATAAATCAAGGCGTAATACAAATATGCCAATGTCCCTGCATAGTAGAAGAAAAAACAGTGCAATGCTGTAAATTAAGATAGGAAAAAAGGCAATTAAACAGCAGAGTTAGGGCTACAGATAGGAAAAACATTGGAAAATATTGTTTATACACACAGTTGACCCGAAGACCAGCTGGCTGGTGGGAGGAACGCATGCGTGCGCAGCAGAGCTGAAATGGGGCAACTGCTCTGCATGCCGTGAGAGAGGGCTGTGTGTGCCACCTCTGGCACGCGTGCCATGGGTTCGCCATCACGGGCCAAGATCACAAGGGCTTGCAGGGCCCTCTTTTTTGCAGATTCCGATTCATGGATCACTCCAGTTTCATAGCTTGCCACTTTAATCTGGTTGTATTCCCACATATTTTAATTCAGATAAAGACTTTGGATTTGCATAAACATTCAATGGCATTTGTCTGTGGAGATTTTCAGTCATCTCGGTCATGCTTGCCTGAAGGGTGCTTTTTTCAAGAGGCAACTGGACTTTCTTGTTATTCTTTGAAGATGTTTTGCTTCCCATCCAAGAAGCTTCTTCAGCTCTGGCTGGATGGTGGGGAGTGGAAGGATTTATACTCCTTGCGGACAACTGGTCATTTCAATCCTTTTAGAGCAGGGGGTCCCAACAGGGGGTGGGAGACGATATTCTAAAGGGTGCGAAAACTTGGGTTTAGAAGTTTCAAAATTATAGTGTATACGTATATACGCATAATTATATGCATATAACTATTTACTTTTGTAAGGGGTGCTAGAATATATCAGAAGCATTCTAGGGGTGCAGGGTATAGAAAAGGTTGGGAACCCGTTTTAGAGTCATTGAGGCCACCTGAAGGCACTCGAATGGTGCAGGAGTATGAATGATTTTAGAGAAAAATTGCAGACTACAGGAACCATTTGCGCTTCAGTTTGAGATGCAGACAACACAGACTCATCCTACGCCCGTGTTCAACAGTGAAGGTACACAGGGCGGAAACCTCTTGCAAAAGCACAGCTCCACAACATTGTCCTTCCAGCAGTTCCAAGAAAGCTCCACACCCATTTGCACTAAGGTGACCGCGAGGACACAGACAAACCTCCAAGTGGCCTCAATGACACTCTAAAAAGAATGCAAATGTCCAGCTGTCTGCAAGGAATAGAAATAAATCCAGTTTGGTTAGATCCAAAGCTGTGCAAAGAGAGTTCATAATAACTGGACTTATGGACACAACTGAGCCGAAATTTTTGTATTGCTAAGCGAGACAGTTGTTGAGAGTTTTGCCCTTTTATGGCCATTCTTGTTAAGTGAATCACTGCAGTTGTTAGTCACACGGTTGTTAAGCGAATCTGGCTTCTCTATTGACTTTGCTTGTCAGAAGTTCGCAAAAGGAGATCACATGACCCTGGGACACTGCAACCGTCGTAAATAGAGGAGTGTTGCCAAGCGTCTGAATTTTGACCATGTGACCATGGGGATGCTGCGAGAGTTGTGTGATGTTGGCCAAGTTGCTTTTTTCAGTGCTGCCGTAACTTTGATCGGTCACTAATGAAACTTTGTGGTAAGTCAAGGACTACCTGTAGAGTGCAGATAGGAACTTTGATATGCCAAGTTGAGGCAGGTAAACCGGATTAAAACATCAAGGCCGTAACAGTTACAGTAATAGATTTTTAATAGAATAACAGAGTTGGAAGGGACCTTGTAGGTCATCTAGTCCAACCCCCCTCCACCGCCCAAGCAGGAGACCCTACACCATTTCTGACAGATGGCTGTCCAGTCTCTTCTTGAAAGCCTCCAGCGATGAAGCTCCCACAACTTCCGAAGGCAACTTCTCTTCCATCGGTTGATTGTTCTCACTGTCAGAAAATTTCTCCTTATTTCCAGGTTGAATCTCTCCTTGATCTGTTTCCATCCATTATTCACCAGATCAACGGATCAAATCTCACCGGCTCAAGGTTGACTCAGCCTTCCATCCTTTCAAGGTGGGTAAAATGAGGACCCAGATTGTCGGGGGCAATATGCTATTTAGTATACTGTCTTTGGTGTAAGCCGCCCAGAGTCCTTGGAGAGTGGGCGGCATAGAAATATTAATATTAATCATCATCATCGTTCACTGGAAATTGTGCCAGAAGTTTGGATTTGAGTACAGCAAAAACCACTGGGAACATCAGGTTGAGAAAGTTTTAGAGAATGACAAACTCAAGATCTTGTGGGACTTTAGGATTCAGACTGACAGGCACTTGGTCCACAACACACCTGACATAACAATAGTTGAAAAGAAAAAAAGTATGGTTCATTGACATTGCAATACCTGGTGATGCACGGATTGAAGATAAGCAGCAAGAAAAAATCACAAAGTACCAGGACTTGCAAATTGAAATTGAGCGACTGTGGAAAAAGAAATCGTGTGTTGTCCCGATTGTAACTGGAGCCCTTGGAGCAATACCCAAAGGGCTACCCTGCTATTTAGAAATTCTAAATTTGCCGGACTTGAACATTTTGACTGTACAAAAAACCACCTTACTCGGAACAGTTTACATCCTCCGACGATACCTTAACAGTTCCTAGGTCCTTGGTTAGGACTGGAGCTGCTGAGCTATTAACCAGCCTCAAAGGCTGTGAATCTCACTAAAGATTAGTGAGATTCGAGATTAGTATAATAGTTATTATACTATTAATAATAATAGTAATAATAGTAATAGTTATTATTATTGTTGTTTTGTTGTTATTACTATTATTATTACTATTACTATTATTACTATTACTATTATTATTACTATTATTATTACTATTATTCCTTGTCTGGCCTTCAGGTGCTTTGGAAAATAGCTTGACCCTCTTCCTCTCTGTGGCAGCCCCTCAAATACTGGAAGACTGTTACTATGTCTCCCCTGCTCCTTCTCTTCACTAGACCAGCCGTGCCCAGTCCTTGCAACCGTCCATCGCATGATTTAGCCTCCAGCCCTCCTTGGGCCGAAAGACGCAAGCAGGGGTCAGGCCCGGTTCAAAGCGGCCGCCGCACAAAGCTGCCTCTTTCCCCGACCCTGCGATTTCCGCGTGGCCTCCCATCCCTCCGCGCGGCCTCCCCGGCTTCTCCTCGGCAAGGGCGGAGCCGCCACGAAGGCGGCGGCGGCGGCGGCCGCGCGAGGCCTCCTCCTCCTCCTCCCTCGTCGCCGCTCCGCCCCTCCGGCCCCCGCAGGGACGAAAGAGGCGGAGGAGGAGGCCGCGGGAAAGCCGCCACGCACGGCCAGAAGCGGCAGCGGCGGCGGCGGCCAGAAGAAGCAGCGACGGGAAAGGCCTCTTCCCTCCTTCCTTCCCTCCCTCCCTCTGAGGCCGGAGGGTCCCCGAGGCCTCGAGGCGTTTCCGGTACGGGGGAGGGGGGGGGTCGCGCGGCAGGAGCGTCACGTGACGCGCGTGGCTGGCGGGCGGGGAGGTGGGCCATGGCCGTTGGGCGGCCTCGCGCGCGGGGAGGAGGAGGAGGAGGGGGGAGGAGGAGGAGGAAGGGGGGAGGTGGCGGCGGGACCCCCTTCGCCTCGCTTCTCCTCAGGGTGACTAAAGGCCTGGCGGGAAGCCGGATGGGGAGTCCCCTTGGAAGAGGGCCGCTTCCAGTCCCTGGGCTGAGGGGGCTTCCCCGGAGTCTCGGCGCAGCTGTCACTGGGTGTTGGGGGGGGGGAAGACCCGCGATGCTTGCCTTCGCTGCGGCTCTCGGGGCAGAGGCGGATGTGTGTGTGGGGGAGGTGGGGAGGGTGATGATGTCCCGACCCGCCTACGGGGGCTTTGACTGCTCCATGCAGTCCTCGGCTTAGGACCGTTCATTTACTGACCCTTCCAAAGCTAGCATCGAAACAAAGGGACCTATGAGCTGCTGCTACATGCAGTCCTCGGCTTACGACCTTCATTTACTGTCCTCTCCAAGTTAACATTGAAAAAAGAGACTTAGGAGCTGCTGCTACATGCAGTCCTCGGCTTAGGACCGTTCATTTACTGACCCTTCCAAGCTAGCATTGACAAAAGAGACTTGGGAGCTGCTGTTGCATGAGTTCTCGGCTTAGGACCGTTCATTTAGTGTCCCTTCCAAGTTAGCATTGACAAAAGAGACTTAGGAGCTGCTGCTACATGCAGTCCTCGGCTTAGGACCGTTCATTTACTGACCCTTCCAAAGCTAGCATTGAAAAAAAGGGACCTATGAGCTGCTGCTACATGCAGTCCTCGGCTTACGACCGTTCATTTACTGACCTCTCCAAGTTAACATTGAAAAAAGAGACTTAGGACCTGCTGCTATATGCAGTCCTCGGCTTAGGACCGTTCATTTACTGACCCTTCCAAGCTAGCATTGACAAAAGAGACTTGGGAGTTGCTGCTGCATGAGTCCTCAGCTTAGGACCGTTCATTTACTGACCCTTCCAAAGCTAGCATTGAAAAAAAGGGACCTATGAGCTGCTGCTACATGCAGTCCTCAGCTTACGACCGTTCATTTACTGACCTCTCCAAGTTAACATTGAAAAAAGGAGCTGCTGCTACATGCAGTCCTCCGTTTACGACCGTGACCCTTCCAAAGCTAGCATTGGAAAAAGGGACCGATGAACTGCTGCTACATGCAGTCTCCGACTTACAACCGTTCATTTAGTGTCCCTTCCAAGCTAGCATTGACAAAAAGAGACTTAGGAGCTGCTGCTACATGCAGTCCTCGGCTTAGGACCGTTCATTTACTGATCCTTCCAAAGCTAGCATTGACAAAAGAGACTTATGAGCTGCTCCGTGCGACCTCGGCTTATGACCGTTTATTTAGTTACCCTTCCAAGCTAACATTGAAAAAAGGGACTTGGGACTATTTTTCGCACTCCCAACCTTTGCAGCATTGCCCACGATCACGTGATCAAAATTCGGACACTTGCCAACTGCTTCACGTTTATGACCAGTTGCTATGTCCCAAAGGTCCTTGTGGGACCTCCTGGCGAGCAAAGCCAATGGGGAAGCCATATTCACTTAATAAGCAGGTTACTAACTTAACAACTGTGGTGATTCACTTAATAACGGGGACAAGGAAAGTGGTAAAACGGGTTAAAATTCACTGTGTGCAATGTCCCGGAGGTCACGTGATCCCCTTGTGCATCCTTCTGACGAGCAAAATCAAGGGGAAAACCAGATTTGCTTAACAAGCGTGTTACTAATTTAACAACTGCAGAGAATCCCTTAAAAATTGAGGCAAGAGAGGTCGTAAAAATGGGGCAAAACTCACTTAGCAAAGGTCTCACTTAGCAACAGGAATGTTGGGCTCGATTGTTTATTTATTTTTATTTATTTTATTAAATTTCTATACCGCCCTTCTCCCGAAGGACTCAGGGCGGTGAACAGCCAGAAGATAAAACACAGGAAATACAAAATCTAAAATAAATTAAAACAAATTAAATAATTTAGGCTGAATTTTAAAATTGTTGTTTAAGATTGTTGTCATAAGTCAGGGACTATTTATAGTGCCTGAACTGCCTCAGGACAGAGAGCTGTTCCACAGGCAGCTCTTTTCCCTTGGGGTGGCCAGTCCGGTCCTGCCTGGCAAGGGGCTGTGGGGGGGACAGTCCTTCTCTATGAGCCCCCATATCCAGGTTGGCCAGTGGAAAAAGCTCTGAGGGGATTGATCAACCTCTGGCTGAATGAAATTGAATGTTGTTTCTGCATTTTCTGTGCCTGGAATTCCTGGGGTGAGATGGGCACAGATTTGGCCACTGAAATAAGCAAATAAATAAAAGCATCAGTAAATACAGGTAGTCCTCAACTTACAACAATTCATTTAGTGACCATTTGAAGTTACAACAGCACTGGAAAAAGTGACCTATGCCCATTTTTCACACTTAATGACCGATGCAGCATCCCCCACGGTCGTGCGATTTACATTCAGATGCTCGACAATTGACTCAACGTTTATGACGGTGGCAGTGTCCCTGGGATCATGCGATCAACTTTTTGCAATCTTCCGACTTAAACAAAATCAATAGGGAAAAAGATTCGCTTAACAATCATGTTACTAATTTAACAACCACAGTGATTCACTTAATAAATGTGGCGGGCAAAGTTATAAATGGGGAAAAATGGAAATAACAAATTTCTCACTTAGCAACATAAATTTTGGGCTCAGTTGTGGTCATAAGGTGAGGACTACCTGTATATTTGTTCTTTGCTTTTGCAGAGATGGTTTGATTGAAGACTCCTGCCTCAGTTGTGCAAAGATTCGACCCAGAACTTTTTCAGTCAAGGGTGAGTCTTAACAGCCTCCCTTTTTTTTGGACCCATTAAGAGACCCACAAAAATAGCCATTGAATGGTATGATTGAAAAGCTTTTTTTAAACCTATTTTTAAAAGAATTCCCTTTTTCTGCCTTCACATCTTTAAAAAAAGGTTGTAATATCTGAGTAGAAAATGTCATGAATATTTCCTGTTACTGTTGAAAACCTTTTTAGGCCTTTTACCTATAATGTGATGTGAAAGTCTTAATTCTGAATTTGGAAGGGTACGATCAGCTGTGAAAGCAATGAATGAGCCAAGAGCTGCTGGGACAGATCGGGAGCCAAAAGGAAAAGAAAAAAACCCGGGTGCAATTCATCGCCAGCATAAGAAGGAGCGCCTGGGATGGGGAGCGTCACAACATTGCCGATGGGAGACCTGTCATGGGATGCAGGAGCTCTGGGAAGCCCAGCTGCAGCAGTTCCTGAAATCTCTGCAGCCCATTTTAGCAGGTCGGGGAAGCTCTGGGACGTCCGAGGCTTCTCCCTGGGAGGACGCTAAGGAGTTTCTGGTCTCCTTTGAGCAAGTGGCCAAAGCCTGCCGATGGCCTCGGGACCAGTGGGCGGCCCATCTCCTGCCGGCCCTGAGCGGAGAAGCGGAAGAGGCCTTCCGAGGTCTGGAAGCCAGAGACCAGGAAAACTATGAGAAAGTGAAGGCTGCCATCTTACGAGGGGAAGCCATGAGAACGGAGAGGCAGCGGCAGCACTTTCGGCAATTCTGCTGCCAAGTGGTAGAGGATCCCCGGAGGATCCACAGCCAACTCCAGGAGCTTTGCCGCCAGTGGTTGAAGCCAGAGAGACGCACCAAGGAGCAGATCCTGGAGCTGCTGATCCTGGAGCAGTTCTTGGCCAGTCTCCCACCGGAGCTTCGGAGTTGGATCCAAGCCAGGAGGCCGGAGTCGTGTTCCCAGGCGGTGGCCCTGGTGGAGGACTTCTTGATGAGTCAACAGGAGGCCAAAACCAGGACATCTCAGGTGGGTTTTACTATCAAGATCCTCAAGTTTATTTATTTAGCCAGTGTGATGTAGTGATTAAGGCACTGGCCTAGAAACCAAGAGACTCCTGCCTTAGGCACAAAAGCCAGCTGGATGATTTTTGGGCCAGTTACGCTCTCAGCCCAACCCACTTCACAGGGATGTTTTTATGGAGAAAATAGGAGAAAGGAATTGTCTTTAAATTCGCCACCTTGACTTACTTGTAAAGTAACAAAGGTGGGATAAAAATCAAATCAAGTATCAAATTTTTGCACTGCCCATCTCATCTAAGTGGCCAATTTATAAATGATAATATTATAAAACATGACTGAAAGCAACATGAAAAGCAAGGTTAAAATTTACAAGTGAAAAGTGGCAATCAGAGTTAAAAAATTCAGAAAGCTCAAAGGTTAATAAGGCAAAGGGAGTGCTCTCAAGCCACCAACCATCCCCAGGATTGTGTAACATTTTTAGACACAGCCCCCCCCCCGCTAATTGGCAGAGCCAGCTCTTAACACTTCTCTAGAATACCAAAAATGGGGTATCGTCTCTTCTCTGAAGTTTAGATGTTCCAGAGAGCAGAGCAAACCTCAGAGAAAACCATCTTCCTAGATCCTGGTAGTCAAAATTCGTTACACAACGGGATTTGCAACACACCCTCCCTGATTGCCTGGGTGGGAGGGGTCCTTAGAGACCCTCTTCCTGTGTCCTGAATGGCTTTAAAGGTGATAACCAACACCTTGAATTGGACCTGGAAGCAACCTGGCACAAGTTCCTAACAGGTCACACAGAGCTGGTATTGAATCACCCTCAGCTATTAATTGAAAACCAATTTACAGTGATGAAATGCAGCTTTTCTTTTTAAGTTCATGGCCCACTAGAATTTCTTCACAGTGTCTGAAGAACCAGATGCTGGTCTAGGGGCAAGAGACCCTGATTTCTAGGCCTGCTTTTAGTATGTGAAAGGGACAGGGTGACTTTAGGCCAGTCACTGTCACGTAGCCCTCCCCAACCTCACAAGGTTTTTGTTGTGGGGAAAATAGGAGGCAGGAATATTAGGTATGTATACAGACTTGAGCTGCATATTAAAAAGAGATAAATATAATAATATTCAACTATGCAACCACATGGTTACTATTAGCAGTAGTAAATTGTCTTTTTATATTTAAACTGTTAATTGTTACAAAGAGCTGATTACTTACTGGAATGCTTTGCACCTTTAATTTCTGCCCAAGGTTTAGATCTGGTAGAGTTTAAATGCTCTAGATCTCAGCAGTAAAGGATTGACATTTGATGAGACTTCACAAATGTGTTCCCCTTGTATCTGGGTCAGCCCTACGCAACAGCATTCTTTGTCTGGTCCAGAGAGTCCCGATCCTGCTGAGCCTTGGCAAAACGTTAAAACGTAGTTCTTTTAGCATGCCTTGGGGTAAGAGGCAGTGATTTGTTTCATTTAAATGATTCATGTGGCTCCCCATCTAGCAGCAATGACTCCAGGCTGTGTACAAGGATTAAAACCAACCACAAGAAAAATCAACAATCCACATGTCTGAGGTCAAATCATTCCAATTATAGGGGGAAAAAACCCAAAAACAATTAACCAGCAGAGTTTGCTCCATGGCCCCAACACCGGAGGCGGGTGGGAACAGCCTGGTCCTTCAAGCCTACTAGCAGGGCCATCTGAGCAGTGTTACTCAACCTTGGCAGCTTTAAGACGTGTGGGCTTCAACTCCCGGAAATGTTGCCAAGGCCAGCTGGGGAAGTCTGGGAGTTGAAGTCCACCTGAGTTAAAGCTGCCAAGTTAGGAAAAAAAACTACTCTAGAGAGATGCTGTTTCACAAAGCAGACAGTGGTTCAGTGAAGGGATGTCATTCCTTCAGTTCTATATTAGTTTTTTCAGTTTTTTTTAATACTGAGATAAAGATGCTATCTTTTCCCAAATAGGTTGATTGTATAGGTAGTCCTTGGCTTACGACCACAATTGAGCCCAAGATTTCTATTGCTAAGTGAGACAGTTGTTAAATTGTCCCATTTTACAACCTTTCTTGCCATGGTGGTTAAGTAGATACTGCATCCAGTCATGGTCGCCATGAGGTAAAAAAGCTGTTGAGACTCTAGAAAGAGTGCAGAGAAGAGCAACAAAGATGATTAGGGGGCTGGAGGCTAAAACATATGAAGAACGGTTGCAGGAACTGGGTATGTCTAGTTTAATGAAAAGAAGGACTAGGGGAGACATGATAGCAGTCTTCCAATATCTCAGAGGCTGCCACAAAGAAGAGGGAGTCAAGCTATTCTCCAAAGCACCTGAGGGCAGGACAAGAAGCAATGGGTGGAAGCTAATCAAGGAGAGAAGCAACTTAGAACTCAGGAGAAATTTCCTGACAGTTAGAACAATTAATAAGGGGAATAACTTGCCTGCAGAAGTTGTGAATGCCCCAACACTGGAAGTTTTTAAGATGATGTTGGATAACCATTTGTCTGAAGTGGTGTAGGGTTTCCTGCCTAAGCAGGGGGTTGGACTAGAAGACCTCCAAGGTCCCTTCCAACTCTGTTATTCTAAAAGACTTCTAAAAATATCGCTGCAATTGTTAAATTAGTAACCCGGTTGTTCAATAGATCCGCTTCCCCATTGACTTTGCTTGTCAAAATGGGGCCAAAAGGGATCACATGACCCCGGGACACTGCACTCGTCAAAAATATGAATCAGTTGCCAAGCATCCAAATTTTAATCACATGACTGTGAGGATGCTGTAACAGTCGTCAGTGTGAAAAACAGTTACAAGTCACTTTTTCAGTGCCGTTGTAACTTCAAACAATCAATAAACGAGCTACTGTAAGTTGAGGACTAGCTGTATTGTTCTTTGATTTTTCTTTCCTGTATTTTTTAATTTTTTGCTGCTTTTTAAAAATCCTAACATACAAACACCTGAAATTACTGTGCCATTTGATGCATCAGACAAACTGATAATGAAGTAAAAATATCGTGTTCTTTTACACGTTTCCCCAATTCGTGACGAAAAGAGCCAGCTAATGCCATTTCTTCCCAAGGCAGCCTATATAACGGTGACCTTTATTAAATATATTCTTAGCAGCCATTTTTAAACTGTAAGTCTTCAATCATTTTCTCTCTAGACTTTTTCAGTGTATTAAATGCTTTGAAAGAATGTGTTGACTTAAACCTCTTCAGGCTGTCCCTTTGAATTTTGAGCAGAGCTGGTGGGTCCAAATGGTTAAGTGTAGCTTTTGTCAGTTGCGTAACTGGTTTGTTGAACAGGTCTAATTCACTGGTTCCAAACAACCTGCTACGATTATAATCTTCCAAAGCAAAGTGGCTGAGATCGTTTACCTTAAACCACATTTTCAGTTATTACCGGTACTGTGTATAACTCCAGGCCAAGGGCAACATTTTTTATTTATTTATTAAATTTATATGCAGAGATGGTGAGTGTGCTGCAGATCACAGGAAACATTTCTAAGAAATGTGTTAATGCCGGGGTTGGCCTCTCTACTGAGTTTCGCTAACTGATTTTGGAAGAACTTCAAGAAAACAAAGAACTGCTGGGGGCTTTTGGTAGAAAAATCAGAAAAAATTTATCTGCCAAGCCTTTTCCTCTCATTTTGAGATTATATTTCCCTGCTACAGGGGCGTTTAAAGGAAAAACCTGTGGATTTCCTACCGGTAGTTGCAGAGAAAGAGCCTCTGAATGCCACGAAGGGACCTGTCTACGGTGAAACTGATCCAAATGTGGAGGCCAATTTGCTGGGTAAGAATTCATGGAATATTTAAATTTTCTTCTACGTTTCCTTCTGGGGGGTTTGGCTTGGCTTGGCTTGGCTTGGCTTGGCTTGGCTTGGCTTGGCTTGGCTTGGCTTGGCTTGGCTTGGCATGGCATTAGCCTTGTGGAGGAGATAATTTGGGAAACGTAGCTTGATGGTCAAGGATCAGGAAAGCTATAACGGAGTTCTGGAAGAACTGTATGCTATTCTTGCGTCTATGTAAAACTTTGGTTTTTGGTATATCTTAATCACAGCCATCTTTGTATCTCTGAAGGAGATGGGTGGTTTCTAAATTTGATGAATACAGGTAGTCCTCGACTTACAACAGTTTGTTTAGTGACCGTTCGAAGTTACAACGGCCCTGAAAAAAGTGACTTACGACCATTTTTCATGCTTATGACCGTTGCAGCATCCCCATGGTGACGTGATTCATATTTGGATGCTTGACAACTGACTCAAATTTATGAGTGGTTGCAGTGTCCCAGAGTCATGCGATCCTATTTTGCGACCTTCTTACAAGAAAAGTCAATAGGGAAACCAGATTCACTTAACAACCGTGTTACTAATTTAACAACTGCAGTGATTCACTTAACAAATTTCGCACTCAACAACATAAATTTTGGGCTCAGTTGTGGTCATAAGCTGAGGACTACCTGGAAATAGAAAATCTAAGCATGCTTTTATGATCCGAATCTTTGTGATCATAATCTTTCTCAACAGGGCCCAGCAAAAGACTATTAACAAAACGCCTCCTTAGAAATAGGAGAGACAAAAATTCCTATTTTGAAATTCCGTACTGAAATCTTTTATGTTCTTTGTAGGCAGTGGACCGAAATACCCAAGTCTCTCTCCTTTGCCATTTCCTCCTGAAGGAGAAGAAGTGGGCCAGACTGGTGGGAAAGAGGTATGGGTCAAGTTATGTTTAGGGTGTACTTGGATGGCTCATCAAGTCTACTGGTTAAAGAGAAGCAATATGTAAGATTGGGTCCGTCACCGAAACCAGAAGTTTATTCTGAGCTTTCAGACTCGTGTTGGAGCCCATCCTCTGGTAACTCCTCTCTACTGGAATATGTGCTTTGGGCCAGGGGTCTCCAACCTTGGCAACTTTTTTTTTTTTTTTTTTTTTATTGAAAAGGTTTTCAAATACAAATTTTTCCCCCTTTTTCCCCCCCCTCCCCCCCCTCCCTAACCCCCCCTCCCCACCCTTCCCCCCCTGTGACTTCTTCGTAACAAAAAAAAAACCCTAATTCATAACAGATTACTTACTCCCTCCTCAAAATACTGACCTTTACTTACTAAAAGTATTATAAATCCCCCTTTATCCATACATTTCAGAAAAGAAGAAGAGAAAAAAAAAACAAAACAAAAAAAAACAAACACATTATACTATAACTATTATAAAATAACTCTAATTTAGCATAATAGTGTTTTATATCTATGCATTATTGCAACAATTCAAAACCACCTTCCACTTTAAAACTATACAATAAGTCCTACTTTAATAACATTTCAAAGCGGGCTCCCCATAAAATCTAATTTAACATTTATTCCACTCTATCCATTTCCTCCACTCCCCTAAATGTATCACTTAAAAAACCCTTTTCTTAAACTAATCAGTCTGTAGCTAGCTTATTCACCCACTGTCTTACAAATTTACCATACACAACAATTCTTGATATCTTTAATTCACTGCCCACACTACTTAAAAATATATATATATATATATTCCATTATATCTAAATAAAAAAAAGAAAAGACAATAACTTTAAATTTATAGTCCATATAATATCTTCTTGAAGTCTTTCCACTGGATTGTTAAAACCAACATCCATAATAGGGTGACATAGCTTGCGGATGCAACAGTTTATTCAAGATCTCCAATCATATCTGCCCCCATCAGTAGTAAACATCTTCTTATATATATAAAAGTAAAAACAACCACCCGAGTGACATTATAATTGTATTCCATATAATAATAATTGTGGGTTTCATCAGGATTATTAATTTCCATCATCGTATTGGGTAACAACCCGATCTTCTGCATGTCCCAATGTGATTCTCTTGCCTTATAATTCAAGATAATTATAATATATTTATCAACACAAAAAGAAGTTTCAAAATAGATAATTCAAAACCATCAATTTGAGGCTCTTTCCATGTCCCAAAATTACGGCAATGCAGAGATCTGCCACTATCCTCAGGATGATATTGACCAATATGTCGCCTCCTCTATGTTTTCACATAATCATTCATATTTTAAAATCACTGGCTTCACTGTTGCTTGGGTTAGAAATTTCTATTTTTGTACAACCTATTTCTTTTTTTGTTTTCTTTTTGTGGGTTTGACCTCCATCCTAATTTTTTGTGTCTCGCATTTCTTTTTTATCCCTTGTATATCCTCTAATTGGTTTCCATGCTTGTCCTTGCCTTGATAAGTCATCACATTAAAATCAGATGGCACTTCTCTCAAATTTGTAGATAATCCAGCTGGGGTATCCGATAAATCCAAAGGCAATTTATCTGGTACAGTCTCTGTCTTTAGTTCCAGCTCCTTCTGCTTATCCTGTATTATATCTGAAGACGTTAAATTCATTTTCAACCTATTTTGATAAAATTCTTCCGCCCTTTCAACAGTATTTAACTGGTATCTTTCTCCTTGATATCTCAATATAATACCAACTGGGACGTCCCACCGGAATTGAATATTTCTCCTTTTTAACTCAGACACCAGAAAGCCAAATTTCTTCCTTTCCATTAATATCTTAGGTGGGAGTTCCTTGTAAATCCAAATCTTTCTTCCATACAATTGCAAATTAGAATTGAAAGAATTTTGCACAATTTTATTCCTAATTTCTTTATCTGAAAAATAGATTACCACATCTCTAGGCAATTGCCTTTGCTTGGCAGTCCAAGAGTTTATTCGATAAGCTCTGTCAATCCTACAAAACACTTCCTCAGGTTGAATCTTTAAAATCCCAGCTAGAAATTCAGAAGATATTTTCCTTAAGTCATCTCTGTTATTTTCCTGCAAACCTCTAAGTCTTATTGCATATTCTGTGAAATTATATTGTATCTTTAGAACCTCTTTTTGAATCCTCTGTTCCAGATATTCTACATTACCAGACTTTTGGTCAGCATCCATTTTAAATTTTTCTTCTGAACTATAATCCTGAATATTTAACAAATCATTTTCAATTTTTTGAATTCTATTGTCCAATTTATCTTGAATTTCATCCATTTTTGACTCTAGTAAATTAGTATTTGTATCCAACCGAATCATGAATTCTGGCAATTTTAAAATTTTTTGCTGCAAAAAATCAAACTTGGATTTCACCAATTCCTTAGTTTCCTGCTTAAATTTTTCAAGTTGCTGATTCAGAATCTCATCCCTTCTTTCAATCTCCTCTAAGAGAAATTCTATTATATTAAAATCAGGTTTCTGGGACTGAAGAGTTAAAACATATTGCTTTAAATTCTTGGTGGGGGAATCCCCCCCACCTATTTGTTTGTCTGACTTCACAAGCCTCAGTGCCATGTTTCCGCCTAAGCAGGCTTTGTTAGAAGAAGAAAAAAAAAAAAAAAAACAAGACAAAAGACTTCCAGCCAGCAACACTCAAGCCTCCAGGGAAAAAAGAGAAAAACAAAAACAGGAGCGGAGTTTTGTCTACAAATGTAGCCAGTGGTATTTATTCCGCTACATTGTAATAATAAAAAACGGAAGAACTTTCCCTCTCAAACTCTTCTCCAGCCGCGGCAGACGCCATTTTAAAAAGAAACTTTTTTCCTCTTTCTCTTCCTCTATTCTCTTAAGTAATTTTTAAAAGATAAGTAAAATACTTGCGCTTCAGTATTACAGGTCCAGCTCACATTTTCTTTGAGTAATCTGTCAAATTCGCAAGCTTGCTTTTGACGCCTGGCTCTGCATTAGCAGAGGTCTCCCAAAGCCCGGAGCAGCGGCTGGGGATATGGGGCATCTCATCCGCTCCATCCCAAAAGTAAAAGAAAAACTTTTGGGACTCTGCAGAGAGTTCTACCCACCCCTGCCGGCTCTATCTCCGTTTCCTCATGGGAACGGAGTTTTTTCGAGCCGCCGTTCCGTTGTGAAGGCGGCTCTGACAGGCAGTGGAAGCTGACGATCCCTAAGGAACGTCTGGCGGCGGCCAGCAGCAAACAGGAAGTCCCCCAACCTTGGCAACTTTTAAGACTTGTGGACTTCAACTCCCAGAATTCCTCAGCCAGCAAAGTCCACAAGTCTTAAAGTTGCCCAGGTTGGAGCCCCTGCTTTGGACTATTCTGTGAGTTGTATTTATGTGGTGCCTTCCTATTGGTTGATTGGTGTGTTGATGGCTGGCGATTGGCTGTTGTTTCCTTATACTGCCAGGCCCTAGGCTCCGAAGTATTTGATAAGCTGGTGGTAAATCAGCACTCCTGTTGACTGACAAGGGGGGCCATTTCCCAGGCTTCAATCATTTCCCTGGCTGTTTTTGTACCTGCTCGGCCAACAATCTTAGTAGCTGTAAAATTGAATGCACTTTCCTTGTTCATTGCAATGTGAGGCTACTAATGAAGTTGGGTCTCCTCGTCTGACGGCTCCCTTGTGTTCTTGCAATCTAGTGGTTAATTTCCTCCCCGACTGTCTTATATAGTCAGAGTGCAGTCCATGCAGGAATCCGGTAGATTACATTATAAGTGTCTCCCACCTCCAAGCGATCTTTGAAATGCCTGATTTGTCCTCGTCTAGTAGCCTCTGGGCAGTGTGCGATGCCCACATTGCAAGGCAATGTGCTTTAAGGAAATCTGCAGTTTTGCTTTAACACCGTTTCTTCGATAGAATCTGATAGGAGAAGAGTTGTTAATTTTGTTTGGTGTTCACTGGACCCAGGGGTGGGCTTCAAAAATTTTAGCAAGGGGTTCTCTGCCCGGTTCCTGGGTGGGCGTGGCCATGGTGGGCGTGGCCTAGTTGGCCTCCTGCACCACGGGGGGGGGGGCGTCTTTGCCCTCCCCAGGCTCCAGAGGCTTTCGTCAAGCCTCCGGGAGGGCAAAAACAGCCTCCCCAGGCTCCAGGGCCCTCTCTCTGGAGGCTCGGTAGGCCCGTTATACACCCTCCTTGAGCCCCAGCGCACGCCCTGCACTTATCTGCATCCAAAATGGGCCGCCTGGGGACTCTTGGGAGGGGAGGGGCGGGGAGGGGTGGGCAGGGCCAGCCACTCCGAACTGCACAGAATCTTAGCTAGAGGTTCTCCCGAACCCCCAGAAGCCCACCCCTGAGTGGATCTCAAGGAAAAGTAAACTATTCCCACAAAATTTACTGAAGGAGTATCAAGGTCTCTCTCTCTTTGCAGGGATCCAAGGATCTCAAGGAACCTGGAGGGTCTTTGCAGATTGTGAAGCAGAACATTACCCAGCCAGGCCAGCAGACTATGCTGTGGCACGTCCTGCAGGAGGACGATGACGCAAATACGGACATTTTGGGTGAGGAAATTGTCTTCCTGGCTCCAGAAACACGAGTTCATCCAAGCTGCTATTTTTAGAATGGAAAGAGTTAATAGAAAATTGGGGTTTACTTTCTAGTGAGAACATTAAAACTGGCAAGATCAAAAGCAAAGGCCCTGATGTTGTTGCTAGTTGTGAAGTTGTGTCCGACCCATCGTGACCCCATTGACAACTGATGAGACCCTGATGAGACCAAACTAATCTCTTATAGAAGGGGGGGTCAACTCAAGGCCTGCGGGCCAGATCTGGGCCATGGGGCCGGCCTGGAAACAGCAAAGGACCGGCCTGCGGTGCCTCTGCCAGCAGAAATGGAACTTAGGGGGCCGCATGCGGCCCTCCCGGGCTCAGTTCTCAGCCATGACAGCTTCCTGCAGCTCTCTGCCAGCAAAAATGGAGCTCAGTGCAACCTCCCCTGTCAGAGGGCTAGCAAAACAAACTAAAAACAAAACAAAAGGAGAAGTGTTTCCCTTTTTCATTTGAGCATGCAAGAAGGGACAGGAAAGGAGAAAGGGATAGAGGAAAGACAAAAAGAAGGGAAGATGGGAAGAGAGCAAGGAAGGAAAAATAAGGAAAAAGGGGAAGGAAGAAGAAAGGAGAATGAAGAGGGAAGGAAAAAGAAGGAAGGGAAGGAAGGAAGATTGAGAGGTGTCGGTTGGTCTTCACAACCCAAAATAAATGCTCCCCCCCCCCAGTCCATTAAATTGACACGGGAGAAAAAGATGCCAGATGGCTCGAATCTTGCAGGTTGCCATTGCTGGTTTTCTTCCTTCATACGAATTGCCTTTCTAATGTTTGTATTGCTACCTTATCAAGAAAGTGAATTTTGCCTGCCTACCCTCCTTGTTCTATTACAGGTCAGGATGAAACCTGACACATAAGTGGATTGCCATTCTATCCCAATTTTTCTGTCTGATTTACATATTTCTCTGCTGTTCAGTTTGGTAAAACTCTTCACAGCTTAAAAGAATATAAAATGTGAGCAGAGTAACTTTCACTCACTCTCAGAATGGAATGGAATGGAATGGAATGGAATGGAATGGAATGGAATGGAATGGAATAGAATAGAATAGAATAGAATAGAATAGAATAGAATAGAATAGAATAGAATTTTTTTTATTGGCCAAGTGTGATTGGACACACAAGGAATTTGTCTTTGGTGCATACGCTCTCAGTGTACATAAAAAGACAAGATACCTTCATCAAGAATCCTAAGGTACAACACTTAATGATAGTCATAGGGTACAAATAAGCAATCAGGAAACAATATCAATATAAATCATAAGGATGCAAGCAACATACCTTCTTATCAAAAGGTTGGTGTTGGGAAAATAAGAGGCAGAAACATTAGTATGCCACTTTGAGTTGTACAAAATAAAGCAGATTATAAATCTAGTGGTGTAATAAATAATTTTTAAAAAGGTACCAATTGGGAGAATAATCAAACGAGTTGGTGCCTAAATTTTGAAGCCCCATTCAAATAATCCTGCCTTGATCATCTTATGGAAAGATAATAGGAAAGCTATGGGATATATAGATAGTGCTCAATTTATGACCCCAATTGAGCCCAAAATTTCTGTTGTTAAGTGAGAAATGAGTTTTGCCCCATTTTACGACCTTTCTTGCCTCAGCTGTTAAGTGAATCACTGCAGTTAGTAATGCAGATGTTAAGTGAATCTGGTTTCCCCACTGACTTTGCTTGTCAGAAGATCACAAAAGGAGATCACATGACCCCAGGACACTGCAACGGTCATAAATATGAACCAGTTACCAAGAGTCAGAATTTTGATCACATGATCATGGAGCTGTTGTAATGGTTGTAACTGGGGAAAACGGTCATACATCATTTTTTTCAGTTTCGTCGTAACTTTGAATGGTCACTAAATGAACTGTTGTAAGTTGAGTTCTACCTGTACCTCCAAAAAAGGCATGTGGTGGACGTGAGAGAGAACTTCTACCTTGGCGTCCATGTCTCCTTCACTTATTATTATGGTGGGATTTTTGTGCTTTGAGGAATAGCATCCAGTTGAAAGAGTGGCACTGCCTCCTCCAGATTTTCAGAATGTTTCTGGAGGACAGAGGGGTTCAGGAAATGTAGCTTTTGGTGCTCCAATCTTCGTATAGTAATGGAGAAAGTTGGACATTCCCTCATGCATATGATGGGAAAGCTCAGTTCTTGTAGGAGAAGGAGTGGCAGAATGCTGGGTGGAGTCAAAAGAGGAATCAGCCTAGAGTCTGTACGTAGCCATAAGTGACTAAATCCAACCCCTCTTAAATTCTGTTGACCCTATCTAACCCCAAGATGGTGCTAATTGTTAGTTGAGTAGATTCCTATGCATAGGCATGATTAGTAATAAGTCGGTGTAATCAGAATTACTGGCCCTTCACCGGGGTGAAATGCTACTGGTTCGGACCGGTTCGCTTGAACCGGTAGTAAAAAAAAATGTTACTGTTTCAGGTGAACAAGTATTTCCGACGATTAGCTGTTCCGCGCGATTTATATTCGCTAGAAAGCAGGAAATCCTGCTTTCTAGTGAATCTAAATCGCACGGCACAGCTGTTCCCCCCTTCTCCGTGCTGTCCTATTTACCTTTGCAGACTCAGAAAAGGTTTCTTAATCCTCATTTTTCAGCGCTGCACGGTAGTGCCTGCGGTGCGTATGTGCGCAAAGCGCATGCTTGGCGCGCACCGTGCATGTACGCACGAACTGAACCAGTAGCAGACTTCAGAGCATTTCACCCCTGCCCTTCACACCTGACAGTTCTCTTATTATTGATGGCTCGGAGTTTCTCCTTGAATCCTATAGAGCAGTGATGGTAACCTTTTTGCCATCGCGTGCCAGGAGAGGCGGGGGGGGGGGTTCATGCACATGAGTGCCCACACCCATAATTCTATGTGCCCCGCCCCACGCATGCGCATGCAACCCCCCCTACCCACCCTACCCACTCCTGGCACGTGATGGCCTGGTAGGCCTGTTTTTCCTTCCCACCTGGCTCCAGATCTCTACGAGTCTCTGGAGGCTGGGAACAGCAAAAAACATCACTTCCAGTCCATTCGGAAGTTGGGAAATGGGTGGTTTCAGGCCTCTGGAGGGCGTCTGAGGGGGTGGGGAAGGCTGTTTTCGCCCTCCCCAGATGCATAGAGAGGATCTGGAGCCAGGTGAGAAAGAAAAACGGGTCTCCCCCCTACACAAGGGGCCTGTTTCCCTACTTCTGGTGGGCCCAGAAGGCCCGAAAATCAGCTGGCCGGCACATGCATGCACGCTGGAGCTGAGCTGATACGGCTACGCGTGCCACCTGTGGCATCCGTGCCATAGGTTCACCATCATGGCTATAGAGAGATTATTGTGCATAGTCAATGGACGACGTCTGGATCCGAAGGCTCCACTGTTTCTCCTGTCCAAGAATGGCTGCTCCTTCACCCACTATTTTTTCCTCTCCGCTGTATTCCTAACTCCAGTGTTGAGGAACTCGGAGGGCGAGAGCCATTGCCCTTTGCAGTTTCTTCCACAAATAGATATGGACATGATCCAAAGGGTGTCTGGATTTCCATTGTCTTCTCCCTGGGCTCAACCAGCTGGCTCCTGTCATCCGGTAGAGCATTTGGTCTGGCCAAGAGCTGGTCCATGGAGGTTTGGTGGGAACCTCAGCATCATTTGCCAAATGCCTTCAGATGTTACATTCTTGACTGAGGAGTTGAGGGGAAGTGTTGGCAGAGACGTTGAATAGTCCTCGGCGGCCCAGAGGATCATCCAGTTTTCTTCCCAGGGTGGATTCCTCTGTCCCCGTTTGGAAAGGCCATATTGTTCTTGGCGCAAAGGAGGCGATTGCAGGAGTGCCATATGTCTCTCAGATCGAGCTGTTTTTGCCTCGGTACATCAAGTAATCGTTACTGGTGCCAGGTTCCTCTTTCTCGGAGGGAGACATGGCAGGGAGCTGCGGAGGCATTCAGAGCTCTTTTCCTGCCTCAAAACCAAGGAGAATTGAGCCATTTGATGGAGAAAATAAAAAAAAATCCAGATGTCTTCCTACAGAGTGCTGTATTCCTAATCTTCCCCTAATGTGGGTTAATGAGGGTCTCGAGAAGAGACAAGAAAATTTTCCGTTGAGACATTTGAAGAAATTTGGTCTCCACAATGTAAAAAAGATGCTGAGACTCTAGAAAGGGTGTAATGAAGAGCAACAAAAATGATCAGGGGACCGGAGGCTAAAACATATAAAGAAAAGTTGCAGGAACTGGGTATGTCTAGTTTAATGAAAAGAAGGACTAGGGGAGACAGGATAGCAGTGTTCCAATATCTCAGAGGCTGCCACAAAGAAGAGGGAGTCAAGCTATTCTCCAAAGCACCTGCAGGCTAGACAAGGAATAATGAATGGAAACTGATCAAGGAGAGAAGCAACTTAGAACTCAGGAGAAATTTCCTGACAGTTAGAACAATTAATCAGTGGAACAACTTATCTCCTCCAAGAAGTTGTGAATGGTCCAACACTGGAAGTTTTTAAGAAGAGATTGGACAACAATTTGTCTGAAATGGTACAGGATTTCCTGCTTGAGCAGGGGGGTTGGACTAGAAGACCGCCAAGGTCCCTTCCAACTCTATTCTATTCTATTCTGAACAGACAGAGCAATTTCTTTTTCCTTCCTCTCTTCCTCCATCGTTCTTCTTTTCACCTTTTGTTCTTTTCCTTTAGTTTCTAGTCTGGCCCACTCCAAACAACTTGATACGGTTTCACAAAATGAAAGAAAAAAAGAAACGCAGTGAGAGCCAGTTTGATGTAGCTGTGAAATCATCAGGTTAGCAACCAGATGACTAGAACTGTGAGTTCTAGTCCCACCTTAGGCACGAAGCCAGCTGGGTGACCTGGGCCAGTCATTCTCGCTGAGCCCTATGAAGGAGGAGCCAATGGCAAACCACTTCTGAAATCTTGCCAAGAAAACTGCAGGGACTTATCCAGGCAGTCACCAGAAGTCAACACTGATTCAAAGACACACATACATCCTCACACACAAAACCCCACAGACGACGCCCAACCCAGTCCCTCACCAACTCAAGGTGCCCATCCAGCAAAAAGTGCTAACTTCATCTAACAAATTGAGATGGCCATTTCTGCCTCTGCCTCTTTGCTTGTTTTCCGGCGTCCCCCTTTCTTTTCCTCAGATGTGAGCGAAACTTTGCAACTCACATGTAATTTCAAGAAACATCTTGCTGAGTTTCTAAAAAACAAAACAAACCCCAATTCATTAACTGACCACAGCAAAATAAAAATGGAACGCTCCGAGGCCTACAGTTTTTAAAACGTAGTCTGCATAAAAGACTTGGCTTAGGACCTGGTTATCTACGGGACCGCCTACTACCACCAATAGCCTCCCACCAGCCAGTACGCTCTCATAGAGAGGGACTCCTCCGGGTGCCATCAGCCAAACAGTGTCGGCTGGCAGCCCCTAGGGGGAGAGCCTTCTCTGTGGGGGCACCTACAATCTGGAACGAGCTCCCCTCGGAGATACGGAGGATCCCGGATCTGCGCACCTTTCGCCGCGCTGTGAAGACCTTTTTATTCCATCAAGCGGGCTTGGCCTAATCTCTTCCCTCTTTTAACATGTAAATTTTAATTTGTTTTTAAATTATTGGGGTGTTTTAATCTGTCCGGGCCAAAATGATTTAATTTGATTTTATCTGGTTTTTAAATTTTTTGTATTTATGTATTTTATTGTTTGGCTGTTCACCGCCCTGAGTCCTTCGGGAGTAGGGCAGTATACAAATCAAATAAACTAAACTAAACTAAATTTGAGATTATGTGTGTGTGTGAGAAAGAGAAAGATGGACAGGGCAGGGACAGAAATCACCTAGAACAGCTGCCCCCAACCTTTTGGGCACCAGGGACCAGTTCCGTGGAGAGAGGTTTTTCCATGGACTGGACGGGACAGGATTTCACATGCTGCCTGCATCTTGTGGGTGGGGCTTTGCCGGTTTGCACGGCCTGGTTTCTGGCATGCTGCAGCCCAGTTCCGATCCACAAATGTGGAGTTGGGGATCCCTGACCTAGAAGGGTTATGTTCTGACCTAGGCTTCCTTAAAAAGCATGAAGCAGAGTCTTGGTCCTGGCAAAACCCCTTTTATTTACACAACTGTGAATTCCTTTCATTCACAGTCAGCAAAGCTTGGCAAACAGTCTTTCAGAGGAATATTTATCAACACAAACCTTATCTTGCTTGGAAAGCTGCCAGATAACTAGTTTCCAAACGCAGGGCAAGGCAAAACTTGGCACAGAGTCTCTTACAGTCACGAACAGAACTTTCCACTCTTGAAACGAACGAACGGTTTCCTGCAAAAGCCCACTCCCCATTTGTTTCTCTTTTGTTTCCTATGGGAGGGGCCAATCACCTCCAAGGTGTGGCTTTACTCCCGTCGACCCTGCTTTCTTAGTTGTTCTTGTCTTCTGGCAGCTCTGTGCATGCACACACTAGGAATGGGCTCCAGCTGTTCCTCTGCCTTGCTACTGTCTAACTCCCTCATCCGAGCCTTCCCCAGCCCAAGTTCCTCCCCAACCTCCTCACTGTCCGACTGCTGCCAGCTCTGCTGGCCGCCGGCGGGCCACAACATGTTAATAGGTTTATGTCCATGGAGATTCTCCAAGTCATGGTTGTCCCAAAGGTGCTTTTTTTTCAAGAGGCAACTGGACTTGCATGAGAAGTGAAATATCTTCAAAGAAAAACAAGAATGTCCAGTTGCCTCTTGCAAAAATCACCTTTGGGTTAATAGGTTTGTTACTTCCTGTGAAAAATGATTACCTCTTTCTTTCCTTAGGGGACGAAATGGGAAATTACATCAAGGTGGAGATTCCTCAGTGTGGAGAAGCTGAAACAGAGGATAACTCCAGGATGGGGCCACAGATCGGCTACGACCAGGTGCCCGTCAAACATGAGAGGCTGGAAGGACGATCTGAATCACGAGAGACTCAGGATGGATCGCCCATCGGGGCAGGAAAGGACTCTTTTGAGCTGGGAGAAGTTCATTGGAAGAGATACCAGAGAATGTCCCTTCCGAATTCCTCCCCCTTTCCTAGAGAGGTTGGTCATGAGATCCCGGAAGTCTTCCCAAGCCACCCACCTCCCACAAAGAAACCCCGGAGCGGTCCTGAGCATAGCGTGGTGTGGGACCACTTTGAGTTGGATTCGGAGGACCCCTGCTACGGCATCTGCACGCACTGCAAGAGACGGGTTAGCCGAGGCAAGAACTCAAAACATTTTTCAACATCTGGGTTGCTGAAACATCTGCAGAGGCATCACGGCAACATCGTTCTGGCTGCCATCGCCACAACGCAAGCCATGTTGCCAACTAGCAGTAAGTCGAACGGACCTGTTCTGATGCCAAGTGCTTTGCCCCAGTGCTGGACGAAGCAGAAGTCACCCGGTAAAAGGCAGCCTGGTCCAAAGCCATCGGAAGTGACCCGTGCTATTGCCCAGATGATGGCTCTGGACGACCAGCCCTTCAGCATGGTGGAAGAGGCAGGTTTCCAGCACCTGCTGAAGTTGCTTGCCCCCAACTATAAAATCCCATCCGGTACCACTTTCAGCCGGCAGATTGTGCCCTCCCTGTATCAGGCCTGCAGGGAGGAGGCCTTGGGGATGCTTCAAACCTCAGGACCCTCTGCCAGTATGAACTTGAGCTCCGATGAATGAATTAGAGCCAATTTTCTTCCTTCCTTTGATATACGGTTGGTCCTGTGAGCATCTGTAGGGGGCCAGTGCTGATCGGTGGTAGCGTAACCCATTTTAATTCACTGATTAAATCCATCCTACTCAGAAAACCGAAATAATTGACACGCATGTCAGCAAAACTTAAAAAAACCAATGAAAATACAATGTGAAATAAACCATACAAAAAAGATTTAATTTAATTTAATTTAATTTCCAATTTATATACCGCCCTTCTCCCTGAGGACTCAGGGCGGTGTACAGCCAAGATAAAAAACATAGGATACAAATATTAAAACATTTAAAAATATATATAAATTTTGGCCCGAAAGTTAAGAATCACAGACTAATTAAAAGAATTTAAAAATTTTAAAATTTTAAAAATTTCTTCTTGTGTTGATTGAACCATTACAGTGCCAGAAATGAAGTCATGTTGACCATCCAGTGGCAAACACAGTAGAAGCATACCAAATCCTAACCACCTCCTGTTGCCCATATTCTGGGCAAACGGGGATAACAAATCCCATCTGCTACTCCAATGGACAGATCAATAGTCTTCTATTCATTTGAGGCAAAAGCTCCCATCTGTTTTAAGAAGCTTCCTTACGGCAGAGTTCAAAAGCGTAAAGAAAAATTGAGAATATTAGGGAAATAATGCCGAACTTAACACCTAAAACAGACGTCTCCAATTTCTCAGGCACCTTCTAGCACCTTCTGAGATGCCTTTCTTATATATCTTCAGTCAGAAACAATTGTCCAAATTAAATTACTCGTCAGACTGAAATGCCAAATCATTTCTTTGATTTCCATTCTCCTTCATTGTCTTCTCTCATTGAGATTTCCAGACAATATTCAGAACTGGGTGTCATAAATGTAGTCATCGCATTTTGTCGTCTTCAAGATAACTTCATGCATTCCCGTGTTTGGCTTTCAAGCCTTACCTAAAACTTGGGAAGGTCTTAAGAATCAAAATGGAACATGAAAATAATTCTGAAGCATAATGTTTTACTAAAACAAAATAACCCTTCAGACTGGGTAAATGGATTGGCTGTAGCAAAGTAAATATCTTTTTAAATGTTACAAACATTTTAAAATTGAAAGTTTATGTTTCTCATTAAAGGAGGGTTCCAAAATGTTAACATTCGGAAAAATTAAGTGAAGAAAGTCAGAATCATATAACTTTGTTTGAAGCTTAGTAGATTTAATCTAAAACAATTGGAAATCTTTTCCTAACTTTCTCTAATTATCCTTTTTACTAGAAAAATATTCTTAGAACATCTGCATTTTTTCATACACGAACCAGCTAATTTTCGCACCTTTTCATTAAGTTACTTATTTTAATTTTTCTGTACAATACTTATTAAGATTTAAGCTTTAGGAAGTCCTTAATTAAATCTCTCTACATTTCAGATTTTAGCATGGATTCTATTTTAACTCTTCATCTTTGAGGTGGAAAAAGAGAAATTCATAATGAATCCTTAATGTAAGAGTTCTGGCTATAGTAGGCTTGTTCCTCTTATATTTAAAAAATATATATTTATATCTGTTAAGAGATTTATAATATAAAATAGAATTTGTAATTGTTCGATTTCATGATTTACAGGTTTGCCAACCTGCGGAGAAAACAATACAAATGTATGAAATATATAAACACGTCAGGTATCAGGTATTAACAATACAAATAAGCATAAGTCCTTACACTTGCGTAAAAAGAATTATAATTTAATGCTTTAAGTTAAAATATAAAACAACCACAATTTAACACGCACTATGATTTTATGAGCCAAAATATAAAGAAGAAATTGGGAACCTGTAATGGCTTAGGTTTCGTTGAAAACTGTAAATGAAACAATATTGCTAATGGGAATTTTTTGGATAGTTTTAAGTGGATTGCTGTAAATCTTTGTTTCTGAAACTTAGCAATTTGAAGATGTGTGGACTTCAACTCCCAGAATTCCCCAGACAGCAGTGCTGTCTGGGGAATTCTGGGAGATGAAGTTGATACATCTTAAAAGTTGCCTGAGAAACAGTGGTGTAAAAGTTATGTTGTGATAGCTTTATACTATTACTATTACAATAGTACAAACAGCTTTACACTTTGTCCCAAGAACCAACCTCCATGTTGCTCAGAAAGAGTTCCCTACGAAGTCAATGCAGGAATACTTCAAGCTCTCCTTCTGAAATTTTGCTTGGAAAGTTGGTGGACTGTACCAGTGCATCTCATATTTCTGTATTAAATAAAGAAGTATGGTACCATGTACTGGAGTAAAAGACCGTTGGTTTCAGCCCTTAGTTTGTTAATTCATGCTGTGTGTGGGATTCTCCCAAATCTTTTCTCACTGGGCGAGATTCCTCATGGATTCCCAATGCTTTGCAGTCTCCGCACTTGCAGCTGCTTCCATTTGGAAATGTGCCAGATCCCTCCATTAAGAATGATAAGACAAATAATGCTGCGGTTCATTGCATTTTCTGATTTTTTTTCCCTGAGGTGAAAAAAAAAATCACTCCTTAGTTTTCAGTTTGCTGTATGTTCAGGGCCACCGTATAAGCAAGCGTGAATTATTTTGTCTTTCACACCTTTCCAGAAGAAAGAAACGTACAATGAAGCCGCCCAGAGTCATCTTGTAAGGGAAATGGGTGGCATAAAAAATTAATAAATAATAAACAAAAGTGAAGGCATTTTCATGACGAAATGTCAACTCGGCCACCCTTCACAATGTGTAAGTTGTGTACACATAAATTGAGAACTACCTGTATGGAATGCCTATACAGGTAGTTCTCAACTTATGATCACAAAGGCGAAATGTACATGTCCCAGGATAATGATGTGAGATCAAATTTTGGTCAATCACTGGGACCAGAGATTTTATTCTGAGCTTTTGGACTCATGCCTGGAACCCATCTTCAGGAAATTTCTTTCTCTAGGAAGGCACCACATAGACACAACTCATAGAACAGTCCAAAGCTCATATTTAAGTACCGAGAAATTCCTTGAAGGTCGGCTCCAGCGTGAGTCCAAAAGCTCAGAAGAATAAATCTCTGGTCTCAGTGACCGACCAAAATTTAATCTTGAAAGCTTTTTTGTACCGACTGAACGTACACAGTTCTTCAACTCTTCCCAGTTCAAAAATGAGGCAATAGGGCTAATACAAAGGTGTCAAACTCAAGGCCTAGGGGCCAGATCCAGCCTGCGGGGTACATAGATACGGCCCACGGGGCCGGCCTGGAGACAGCGAAGGGCCCGCCCACGTTGCTTCTGCCAATGAAAACAGAGCTTGGGAGGGCCACATGCGGTAGAGACACAAGTGACGTTGAGCTGGCCACGCCCCCCCCACCCCCCACCGGAGGTCAAGTTCAACCCTGATGCAGCCCTCAATGAAATTGAGTTTGACAACCCTGGGCTAATTTATTTATTTATTTATTTGTTTGTTTATTTGTTTATTTATTTATTTATTTATTTAAAAGAAGCGTGGACTTCAATTCCCAGAATTCCCTAGCCAGCATGGTTGTTGAAGACTGGGAATTCTGGGAGTTGAAGTCCACAAGTCTTAAAGCTGCCAAGTTTGGGGACCCCTGATTTAGACAGATTGGAACAATTCAGAGCACGGTAACATGGATGACAGAAGAACTGGAAACGAATTCCCATGAGGACTCAGAGTGGTGAGATGGCTTATATATTACAGGTTGTGTTTCCAGGTTTCCAGGTAAGTTTCAAAAATGTTTGTACGTCACTTTTTTCCCGTGCTGTTGTAACTTTGAACGGTCGCTAAGCAATGTTGTAAATCGAGGACTACCTGTACAGTTCCAGACAAGTGGCTATCCAATCTCTTCTTAAAAACCCGCCAGTGATGGAGCACCCACAATGTCTAGAGCAGTGGTACCCAACATGGGGCCCACCCCCCCAAAGGGGGGCAATATGATTTTTAATGGGGGCAATTGGAACCTTGTTGAAACCAAATTAATGGCCTTTTAGGCTTCCTCCATGTGAGTAGGAATCACTTTTTGAATAGTAAGAAATATATGTCACGGTGGGGGGGGGGGGCATAAGGATTTTTAAGATGCTTAGGTGGGGCATGGCCAAAAAAAGGTTGGGAAACACTGTTCTAGGGGCAAGTCGTTTCACTAGTTGACTCTTCTTATTGTCAGGAAATCTCTCCTAATTTGTAGATTGGATTCTCCCCTTGATTAGTTTCCATCCGTTGCTTCTTGTCCTGCCTTCAGGGGCTTTGGGGAATGGCTTGACTCCCTCTTCTTTGTGGCAGCCCCTGAGATACTAGAACAATGCTATCATGTCACCCCTAGTCCACAGGCGGGTTTCAGCAGGTTCTGACCAGTTCTGGAGAACCGGTAGTGGAAATTTTGAGCAGTTCGGAGAACCGGTAGTAAAAATTCTGATGGCCCCGCCTCCATCTATTCTCTGCTTTCCAAGTCCCAGCTGATAGGGAGGAAATGGGAATTTTACAGTATCCTTCCCCTGGAGTGGGGTGGAAATGGGAATTTTACAGTATCCTTCCTCTGGAGTGGGGAGGGAATGGGGATTTTACAGTATCCTTCCCCTGGAGTGGGCTGGGTTGGAATGGAGATTTTACAGTATCCTTCCCCTGGAGTGGGGAGGGAATGGAGATTTTACAGTATCCTTCCCCTGGAGTGGGGTGGAAATGGAGATTTTACAGTATCCTTCCCCTGGGGTGGGGTGGGTGGGAATGGAGATTTTACAGTATCCTTCCCCTGGAGTGGGGTGGGTGAAAATGGAGATTTTACAGTATCCTTCCCCTGGAGTGGGGTGGGTGAAAATGGGGATTTTACAGTATCCTTCCCCTGGAGTGGGGTGAAAATGGAGATTTTACAGTATCCTTCCTCTGGAGTGGGGAGGGAATGGGGTTTTTACAGTATCCTTCCCCTGGAGTGGGGTGGGTGAAAATGGAGATTTTACAGTATCCTTCCCCTGGAGTGGGGTGGGTGAAAATGGAGATTTTACAGTATCCTTCCCCTGGAGTGGGGTGGGTGAAAATGGGGATTTTACAGTATCCTTCCCCTGGAGTGGGGTGAAAATGGAGATTTTACAGTATCCTTCCTCTGGAGTGGGAAGGGAATGGAGATTTTACAGTATCCTTCCTCTGGAGTGGGGAGGGAATGGAGATTTTACAGTATCCTTCCCCTGGAGTGGGGTGGGTGAAAATGGGGATTTTACAGTATCCTTCCCCTGGAGTGGGGTGAAAATGGGGATTTTACAGTATCCTTCCCCTGGAGTGGGGTGAAAATGGAGATTTTACAGCATCCTTCCCCTGGAGTGGGGTGGGTGGGAATGGAGATTTTACAGTATCCTTCCCCTGGAGTAGGGTGGGTGGGAATGGAGATTTTACAGTATCCTTCCTATGGAGTGAGGAGGGAATGGAGATTTTACAGTATCCTTCCTATGGAGTGGGGAGGGAATGGAGATTTTACAGTATCCTTCCTCTGGCGTGAGGAGGGAATGGGGATTTTACAGTATCCTTCCCCTGGAGTGGGGTGAAAATGGGGATTTTACAGTATCCTTCCCCTGGAGTAGGGTGGGAATGGGGATTTTACAGTGACCTTCCCCTGGAGTGGGGCGGGAATGGAGATTTTACAGTATCCTTCCCCTGCCACGCCCACCAAGCCACGCCCACAGAACCTGTAGTAAAAAAAATTGAAACCTACCACTGCCCTAGTCCTTCTTTTTATTAGACTAGACTAGACACACTCCATATTCTTGCATACCCTTCTTTACATATCTAAAGGACACGGGAGGTTTTGCTCCTCCCATTGAACACGGAATCAACTCCCGAGTGCAACGCGCGGCGCCAGCGACCTGCGGGAATCGCCCGATCCAAACTCGATCTCATCCGGCCGCTCTTCCTCGGCTCCTCCGGTTCGCCACCGAACCCGAGGAAAACAAGGGCGAACCGAAGCGTCGCGATCCGCCCGAGAGGAGCCGAGCAGCGGATGCCTCCCGCAGCCCTTCCCCTTGCAGGAGACTGCCGAGGCGGCCGGCGATCGTCCTCCCCGCCCAGCCCTGAACCTCCGCCGGGCAGTCCGGAGGGCCAAGCCGGCTTCTCCATCGCTGCGGCTGGAGAAGGAGGCGCTTCCCGGAGCCCTCTTGACCCGGTGCCCGCGGGCCACTGCTGGGCACCAGACAGGTGCTTTCCAATCCCCTGCCAGGTTCGGGTTGGAGACTTGGGGCGGGTTTGCCCATAAGCCACGGCCGATCGCCTACAGGGATGATGGGTTCGGGAGTGGCTGGAGCCTCTCTGATCTCCTCTCCCAATATGGGAGATTGGGGGTGGGGGGGCGATTACAATCCTGCCCAGGTTGTCCCTTGGGGTCTTTCCGGGGTTAAGAGTGGAGGTTGGGTGGTTCTGTTGGAAAGCTAAGCAGGACCAAGGTGGGTTTGGACTTGGATGGGAGGCCTGAGTTATATGCTGGGAAGTTGAGAGACCTCTTGGAAGAATGGTTCCAGGACAGATGGTTCATTTCCGTGCAATTATAGATTTTTTGGGATTTTTTTGGAAATGGACAAACTGACGTTTGAAATGAAGGATAAGGTAGACTCAAAATGTTATATAGCGTGGAATAGGTGGTATTTATTTATTGATTTAATCTCTTTTAATTGATTTAATCTCTTTTAATTATCTTAACTTTTGTATTGTATGTATTTTAATTTTGGCTGTTCACCGCCCTGAGTCCCTTTTGGGAGAAGGGCGGTATACAAATTAAATTAAAATTAAAATAAATAAATAAAATATTTATTGGTTCGATTTATATGCAACCCTTCTCCAGAGACTCAGGGCGGCTTACAATGTGTTAAGCAATAGCCTTCATACTTTTGTATATACCTGCTTAGTAGGGCTTTCAGGACCCCCCCCCCAAAGCGGTGTTCTTTTTTATACAAAGTCAGCTTATTGCCCCCACAAACCAGGTCCTCATTTTACCTACCTCGAAAGGATGGAAGGCTGAGTCAACTTTGAGCCTGGTGAGATTTGAACTCGCAGTAATTGCAGGCAGCTGGCAGCTAAGTGCTACTTAACAGCACTTTAGTCCTCTGCACCACCAAGGCTCTTTTATGTATGTATGTATGATTGGATAACTCGTAGAAATGAGAGTAAGTGGAAAATTTTGTACGATAATAATAATTAACAAATATGCACCGTTAATAAGATAATGGACGTGTGACTAAAGTCACTTTTTCTTTTTATGTATTGTCATTTGTATTAATATATATGTATCTTGTATATAAATGGTATAGTATTTTACTTTTATATGTTTAATAAAGTTTTGTTTTTAACCCCCCCCCCAAAAAAGGACAGATAGTCCTCGACTTACAACAGTTCGTTTAGTGACCGGTTCCAAAGTTACAGCAAAAGTGACTTATGACCGTTTTCCATAGCTATGACTTTTGTAGCCTCCCCATGATCATTTGATCAAAATTCAGATGCACAGCAATTCGTATTTATGAACCAGCTGAGTGCCAAGTTTCTTAAGGGATCTTCAGTGATCGAGTAGGGATCAGAATCTGGATCTCTGTGGTGCCTGTCTAACACTGTCACCCCTAGAACTAGAGATGGCCCTCGACTTACAACAGTTCACTTAGTGACCGTCCGAAGTCACAACAGCACTGAAAAACGTGACTCGTCACCATTTCAGGCATCCCTGTGGTCATGTGATGTACAGTCAGACTTTTGACAACTGACTCTTGTTTATGACGGTTGCAGTGTCCCAGGGACATGTGATCCCCTTTTACGACCTGGTGACAAGCCAAGTCGAGGGGGAAACCAGATTCACTTAACAACCCTGTGGCTAATTTAACAACTGCAGTGATTCACTTAACAAATGTGGGAATAAAAGTCGCAAAAACAGGGGGGGGCAAAACTCACTTCGCAAATTTCTCACTTAGCTACATAAATTTTGGGCTCAATTGTGCGGTCGTAAAATGAGGACTACCTATACAATGACTACTTGGGTTGAGAGACTAAAATCCCACGAAATTGCAAATGGACAACTGTGCATATTCTGTTTTTTCTTAGGTCTGCCCTGAAGTCTTCCCTTGGGCATGAAAGCAATGAAGGAGGGCGTTTTGATAGAGCCCAGATTGGAAGTGGGACCAGAAGGATCTGGAAAAGCCACCAGTCCTCTTACGTCGGAAGGCAGGATGAAGCAGCCGGGATGGGGAGCATCACGCGAGAACAAAGGGGAATCTTGCAAAGCGAGACAACAGTGCTGGGAGGCCCAGTGGCAGGAGTTTCTCAAGACCAGAAGAGGACGAAACCCCCTGATGATGTCAGAAGCTTCCCCCTGGGAAGACCCCAAGGCCTTCCTGGCCTCCTTCGAGCAGGTGGCCACAGCTTGCCGCTGGCCCAGAGGAGAATGGACGGCTTGTCTCCGGCCAGCTCTGAGCGGAGGAGTGGAAGAGGCCTTCCAGACCCTGGACGCCAAAGACCAAGAGGATTATGGGAAGGTCAAGGCTGCCATCTTGCGAGGAGAAGCCCTGAGGACGGAGATGCAACGCCGGCATTTTCGACAGTTCTGCTGCCAGGAGGTGGGAGATCCCAGGAGGCTTTACGGCCAGCTCCACCAGCTGTGTCTCCAGTGGTTGAGGCCAGAGAGACGCACCAAGGAGCAGATCCTGGAGCTCCTCATCTTAGAGCAGTTCCTGGCCAGCCTCCCACCTGACCTCCGGAGCTGGATCCAAGCCAGGAGGCCGGACACGTGTCCCCAGGTGGTGGCCCTGGTGGAGGACTTCCTTCGGAGCCAGGAACAGACCAGATCAGGGTCATGGCAGGTGAAGTTTTAAGAATTAATTCGGAGGGTTTCTATCATGGAATGTTGTGGAAGTGGCTATTATATAGTCATGCCCCATTTTCAGTTGTCAGCTTACTGCATTTATATACTATATACAGGTAGTCCTTGTCTTACAACAGTTCGTTTAGTTCGTTTAGTGACCGTTCGAAGTTATAAGGGCACTGAAAAAAGTGACTTATTTTTCACCCTTATGACTGTTGCTGTGTTCCTACTTCCTTCCTTGTGGGAGGAAAAATCAGATGTAGCTTCTCCTGGTGTGAGAATCAGCTATTTGATTCTCAGACCTCGGTGCCTTCCGCCGTGCCCTTAAAACCTTCTTTTTCCAGCAAGCCGGGCTGGCCTAACACTTTTTAAAATGTTTTTAATTGTTTGTTATTGTTTTTAATCATGGGGCCAAATTTATATCTTTTTTTAAAAAAAAAATAATTTTTATTGAGTATAAATATTAAAAAAGACAAACATAACATATACACAACAAACATTTATACAACATATACACAAAAAGATTATGATTTCTTCTTAAGCATTTTTTCAAAGTGACATTCTACAATTCTACTTATAATATATTCCTTCACCTCTCCTTAACATTTTTTTTCTTTTATATTATATATATCTTTTTAATTGTATTTTAATGTTTGTAGTTTATGCTTTTACTTGGCTGTTCACCGCCCTGAGTCCTCAGGGAGAAGGGTGGTATACAAATTTAAAAATAAACAAACAAATAAATAAATAAATAAATTTTACTTTTCCCTCAGTTGGCCGTATCTAGGAATTATGAAGCACAGTGCAAAACCCCACATTACTGATAAATATTATACCCCTAATATTTTTAGGAGTGTTTCTGAATCTTGGCAATTTTAAGTTCCCAGAATTCCCCAGTCAGCCATGCTTGGATTCGGGTAGGTAGGCTATAAATCAGTGTTTCTCGGCAGCTCTAAGAGCGCCAGACTTCAACTCCCAGAATGCCCCTCTTAGAGCTGCTGAGAAACACTGATTTATAGCCTTCCCCAGTCCAAGCAGACTTTTCAAAATGCCTGCAGAAAAACCACTGTTTATACCTTCAGGATGACATGGTTGGACCCCACCACAGTTATGTAACTTAATTGTTATTGGGCTTGTGTAATAGAGAACGGCTGAGATTTTTTATTTTATGTGTGTATAAAATCAGTCCTTTCACTCTGAATTACAGCATTCTCATTTTTTTTCAGGGTTCCATAAAGGAAGAGCGGATGGATTTCTTACACGTGGAGGAAAAACCTCTGGAAGCTATGAAGACAGAAAATGGTGAGATAGAGAAAGGTAACATTCTTCTGAAAGAGCCATTCCTTTCCTTTCCTTTCCTTTCCTTTCCTTTCCTTTCCTTTCCTTTCCTTTCCTTTCCTTTCCTTTCCTTTCCTTTCCTTTCCTTTCCTTTCCTTTCCTCTCCTCTCCTCTCCTCTCCTTTCCTGTCCTTCTTTCCTGTCCTTCTTTCCTTTCCTTTCCTTTTTTCCTCTCCTCTCCTCTCCTCTCCTCTCCTCTCCTCTCCCCTTTTTCTTTTTGTCTTTTTGCATTTGTGACATAACTTAGGCTGGTGGAATCAAATGACTTGGGTCAGCTTTCTAGAAAAAAGCATTTGGAGTAAATGCAGTTTAGCCTGCAGGGCATCAAAATGGATGCCTCAATTCTGTCCTTCTGCTTGCTCCGTCTTTGTTAGAAACTTGACAGCTTTAAAATATGTGGACTTCAACTCCCAGAGTTCTGCAGACAGTAATAAGTTTATACTTCTCAAAGTTGCCAAGTTGTAGATCAAGAGCTTGGTGCAGATCCCGGGATCTCATTCTTCTTGGAAGCTACTCTGCTTCTCATGAAAGTGCTGAATGAGGAAATGCTGAATGAGGATTTGCCTTTTGACGATTTTCCTCTGATACAAGCAACTCTAAAAATGAAACCCTTCCACCCTACTTTTCTTCTGCCCCTGCAAATCAGAAGGGATGGACCTTGTCTCTCCCCCCCTCACCCCTCCCTCCCCTTGCCTCTCCCCACCATCCCCCACCCCACATCATGGGGATTCAGTTCTCAAATCTTCTCCATTCGTAGATCTAAGAGAGGCAGTGTTATTTATTTATTTATGTAGTTTGTCAAACATGTACAAGATAACAGGTATAAGATAACTGTTATGTTATTATTCCTCAATCTTTTCTTCTTTTCTTTGCAGACCACAAAGCGGGCACTGATCCAGCCCTCCCAAGAGACCAGGAGCAGGGTGGAAACCTAGATTTTTCGGGTAAGGAAGGTTCTTCAAGTCCTACGTATAAAGATCAGCCAATGTGATTGGCTACCTGCAGAATAAGAAAAGCTGATTTTCAGAGTTCACATCCACCATGCTCATCTCTGGCAAAGCAAGATGTTTGAGTTTGAATCCATTTGAAATCAGTTTTAATCCATTCCTAGCAACTGAAATAGCAATAGCACTGACTAGCCCTTAAACTTATATAACCACTTCACAGTGCTTTACAGCCCCAGCCCAGTGGTTTACAGAGTCGGCCTATTGCTCCCAACAGTCCTCATTTTACCCACCTTGGAAGGGACGGAAGGCTGAGTCAACTTTGAGCCGGTCAGCATCGAACTGCTGGCAGTGGGCAGAGTCAGCCTGCAATACTGTGTTCTGTCCCCGTCTCACACACGCACACAAACAAACAGCCGGGGGTTAAATAAACTGGCAGACAACCAATTCTTCCGATAAGAAGCTTGGCAGCAACCCAGTAGCTGCTTGCCAAGAACTTTACTCATAAAACAAAATACACACAGTCAGGAATTGTCCAGTTCGTAAAATAAATCCAAGGCCGATAATGTTGTTTCCAAAGATGCAATGTGACTCGATAGTAGTTAGTTTTGTCCGTCACAGAGTCTGAATGGCCACCTCACCCCCTTTTATACCCTGTGGGGTGTGGTCCAGTGACTCAGCTTAATCTCAGGCACACCTCTTCTTCTGTTGCGCGTGCTTATCTCTGCGACGCTGCCGAGGATCCAGCCAAGACTCATTTCCCTCATCACTGTCCACCTGTGGCTGCGTGGACGTGCTTGGCCCCGGCCCTATCTCTTGCCCTTCGGCGGACACCGAAGGCATTGCCAGAGAGGAGGGTCCTGGAGAGGGAGGCCTTGCCAACTCCTCTCCTTCACTCTCGGAGTCCTCTCCTGCCGATGACACAGGCTCAGGTAACGGAGCCACAACATACTGCATTCTAACCACTGCACCACCCGGAAATAAGGAACAAATGCTGAGCAAACATTAAGAAAGAAGCTACATCAACCGTAGGTCAGAATGCTGATTTCCAATTACTCGTGAAGTTACCCCTTCCTTACTCCTCCCTCCTGCCTCTTCTTATAGTCAGGTTTAAGCTGCCCCTCCTGATCCTGAAGGGCCCACGAAGGTCAGTCTTTATTGTAATACAGGAAGTCCTCAACGTACGACCACAATCGGGATCAGAATTTCTGTTTCGAAGCAAGGCGGTTGTTAAGCGAGTCATGCCGGATTTTACAATCGTTTTTTTTGCCGCTGTTGGAAAGCGAATTACTGCAGCTGTTAAGTGAATGATACATTTGTTAAATGAATCTGGTGGCTCAGCAGACTAAAGCACTGTTATTAACGTCCACTTACATCTGCTGCCTGCAACTACTGCAAGTTCAAATCTCACCAGGCTCAAGATTGACTCAGCCTTCCATCCTTTCTAAGGTAGGTAAATTGAGGACCCAGATTATGGGGGCAATAAGCTGACTTTGTATAAAATATACAAAAGGATGAAGGCTATTGCTTAACACATTGTAAGCCGCCCTGAGTCTCCGGAGAAGGGCGGCATATAAATCAAATCAAAAAAAGAAGAAGAAAAAAGAATCTGGCTTCCCTGTTGACTTTGCTTGTCAGCTGGGAAGGTTGCAAACGACGAACACATGACCCAAGGATGCTGCAACCCTTGTAAACACAACTTGCCAAGCATCCGAATTTTGATTGTGTGACTGTGAGATGGTGGTGAGTGTGAGATCAGTTGTAAGTCGCTTTGTTTAGTGACTTTGTAACTTTAAATGGTCACCAAGAGAATGGTTATAAGCTGAGGGCTGCCTGAAATACATCTTTGGAATGCCATGGTAAGGTTTCTAGCCTTTATTATCTGGATTTTTATTCTTTGCAGCATTCTTTGGGTGCTGTACCAGGTAGAAGCATTATTTCCATATTGCCCCCAACAATCTGGCTCCTCATTTTACAGACCTCGGAAGGATGCGGAAGGCCAAGTCGACCAGGATTGACTGAGGACCCTTTCCTCCCACATTGTAACATCCCCATAGTCGTGGGATCAAAATTTGGAAGCTTGGCATCTGACTTGTATTTATGACAGTTGGAAGGGTCTCATGGTCATGTGATTAGCTTTGGCGACCTTCTGATAAGCAAACTTTATGAGGGAGGCAGATTCACTTAACAATTGTGTTACTAACTTAACGACTGCAGTCAGGGGTGGGCTCCTGGGGGTTCAGCAGGGTTCGGGCGATCCTCTAGCCAAGGATCGCCGGGGTTCAGCGAACTCCCAAATCAGGGGCGGGTTCTACTTACTTTTACTACCGGTTCGCAATGGGGTTGCGCGCTTCTGCGCATGTGCAGAGGCGTTTTCATGACGTCAGGGTCAGTGGGCGGGGCCTCCCGCCGGTTTTACTACCGGTTTTATAGAACCGGTGCGAACCGGGGGCAACCCACCACTGCCCCAAATGCCACCCCTGGCTGGCTACGCCCACCCCACCCCTCCCCTCCCAGGAGTCTCCACGTGGCCCATTAATCATTCCAGGTAAGTGCAAGGGCTGCGCGGAGAGTCTGGGAGGGCAAAAAACGAACCTACCAAAGATTCCGGAAGTCTGGAAACGGGCCTGTTTCTGGCCTCCGGAGGGCCTCCGGACCCCAGGGGAAGCTGTTTTTGCCCTCCTGGAGGCTCAAGGAAAGCCTCCGGAGCCTGGGGAGGGTGAAAAATGCCCCATCCCCCGCCGTGATGTAGGCGGCCGACTAGGCCACCATGGTCACGTCCACTCAGCAACGGGGCAGCGAACCTGTTGCTAAAGGATCTGAAGCCCACCCCTGACTGCAGTGATTCACTTAACAACTGCAGCAAGGAAGGTCATAAAATGGGGCAAAACTCACTCAACCAATGTTTCACTCAGCAACAGAACTGTTGGGCTCAATTAGGGTCGTAGGCTGAGGCCTACCTATCCTGCACTTTAACCGTTATGCTACCCGAGCTCATGGATGTTGTAGGAGACACTGAAAGAAAAGGTAAAGGAATGAGGACTGGTTAAAATGCCTCTTTGTTTCTCTGCAGATGATGTAAGAGAGTGTGAGGTAAATGAAGAGAATTCATATTATGGACAAAATGCCTTGGAAGAAAAATACAGGATAACTCCACAGATAAGCTACAGGAATAAGGAAGAGATCGCAGAAATGCAGGGGGAAGGAGCCAAGTCTGAAAACCAGGAGAGAACAGAAAGAGAGAAGGGAAAGAACGAATGTTTAGAATCCCTTATCCAAAATACCAGAAAGTCCAGTAAGGAAGAAATGCCCGTGTTCTCCAAATACGGTAGAAGGTGCCGCTATAGAGTAGAACGTGACGTGATCCATTCCAGTGAGGATTATGAAGAACGTCCCAATTCAGAAGAGAACCTCCAGCCTAATTCCTCAACTAGACTGCCGGAGAAAGCCAAAATAAGTGTGAAAACGCACTCATTCTTTGAACGTGGGAAAGAAAGTTACTCTCAGAATGAAGAACCTCGCCAGTCTTTCGAATATGAGGAAAACGTGACTCACGCAGACTCGCTGAGGAGAATTCCAACGTGTCCGACAGAAAATAGACAGTACGAGTGCTCTCAGTGTGGGAAACGCTTAAGTACAAGGAGAAACCTGATATTACACCAGAGAAGTCACACCGGAGAAAAGCCGTACAAATGTTTTCAGTGCGGGAAGTGCTTCAGCCAGGCCGGATGTCTGAAGACCCACCAAAGATTTCATACCGGAGAAAAACCTTACAAATGTTCTCAGTGCGGAAAATATTTCAGGCAGGCGGGATACCTGAAGACCCACCAAAGGTTTCACACCGGAGAGAAACCTTACAAATGTTCTCACTGCGATAAATACTTCAGTCAGTCAGGATATCTGAAGACCCACCAAAGATTTCACACCGGAGAGAAACCCTACGAATGTTCACAGTGCGGGAAGTGTTTTAGGCAAGCAGGGAATCTGAAGAGCCATCAAAGAACTCATACCGGAGAGAGACCTTATCAATGTTCTTAGTATGAGAGGTAACTCAGTTGACAACATAGTCTATCCTAGTCCTTTCCATACTGATTTGAACTATTCAGGTGACCCTGAGGGCACAGATAAACCTCCAAGTGGCATCAGTAACTCTCAGAAAGAGCGCTAATGACCAGATGACTGCAAGGAATATAAATCCTTCCATTGTCCACCATTCGGTCAGAACTGAAGAAGCTTCTTAGATGAGAAGCGAAAGGTCTTCAAGGAAAAATTTGCCTTTTGAAAATTTACCTTTGGGACAATGATGAGCTGGATGATTGACATTCTCCACAGACAAACTCAACTGACACATATAATTAAGAAAATATGAGAAACTTCATTGTGAACATATGGACTATCTGGAAGTAACCGAAACTAGAGAACAATTATCAGAGATTCCATACAAGATTTGACGAACTGTAGATAGTCTACTTACAGTAATTTGAAATTAAAAGAATGTTATCAGTATTGTATACATTCCAACATCACTCAGGCAGGGTTTCTTCAAAACTTCAAAAAAAAAAAAAAATAGTTTGGGAAGGTGATTCAGGATTTAAACTTGATCATTTGCTTAAGACATTTCCTGGAACAGAATTCCTTTTTAATTCGGGAGTTTAAATTTAATTGATTCAGAAAATTATTGCTTATTAAGATACATTGTCTAGGATCTAGACAGCCTTGGAAATGTTAAATTTTTAAAATGTTAATACCACTTTATAATGCCTTGGTAAGGCCACACTTGAAATACTGCATTCAATTTTGGTCGCCATGATGTAAAAAAGATGTGGAGACTCTAAAAAGAGTGCAGAGAAGAGCAACAAAGATGATTAGGGGACCGGAGGATAAAACATATGAAGAACGGTTGCAGGAACTGGGTATGTCTAGTTTAATGAAAAGAAGGACTAGGGGAGACAGGATAGCAGTGTTCCAATATCTCAGGGGCTGCCACAAAGAAAAGGGAGTCAAACTATTCTCCCAAATAGGGTAGAACAAGAAGCAATGGGTGGAAACTAATTAAGGAGAGAAGCAACTTAGAACTAAGGAGAAATTCCCTGACAGTTAGAACAATTAATCAGTGGAACAACTTGCCTGCAGAAGTTGTAAATGCTCCAACAGTGGAAGTTTTAAAGAAGATGTTGGATAACCATTTGTCTGAAGTGGTGTAGGGTTTCCTGCCTAAGCAGAAGGTTGGACTAGAAGACTTCCAGAAGGTCCCTTCCAACTGTGTTATTCTAAATTGGGGGGGGGGGGGAATTCTACAGTTTTCTGTAATTAATCCAACTATTTGGTTTATATTTTATTTTCCCTAACTTAAACATTGGTGCAAAGTGTCTGTTATTGTTAGATATGTTATCACAAAAGTTTGGAAATCAAAGGCTTTAGGTTTTAAAGGGTGGTGGATGGAATTGGCAATATTTAGAAGGTTGGGAAATTGCCACAGCTGAATGAATGCAACAGTAAAGAGTTTTGAACATCTCTATATCTGTTTATTCAGAATTTTTAGCTATATTAACATTTTTTTCTAATAAGTAAATAACCTTTGCATATAGAAATATCTTTTGGCTAAAAATATTGACTATGCGTGTTTAAAATTTTTGTATTTATATTTTATCCTTTAGATATTCACAAATAGATGTTTTTATATCTTAAAAGGATATCCATTTATCTGTTAAGTATTAGCTTTGGTTTTCGGTTGCATTTATTTCCTATCTTTTGGTCAATTCAGTGCCTCTGTGTGTGCATATTTTAATTTTTGTTAGTTGTTTCAATAAAAAAAAAAAAGGCAGAATTATTCCAAAGAGGACAAGTTTCAAATGTGCAGAAATAAATCCCCACATCACCCCACTCCATCCTGAACTGATCCTAAAGACATTGACACCGAGAGCGTATGCACCAAGACAAATTCCTTGTATGTCCAATCACACTTGGCCAATAAAGAATTCTATCTATCTATTCTATCTGTCTTACGAATCTCCCCAGGATAGGAAGTTTTTTGCTCATTAAAATGTGATACTGGAGAACCTTCCAATGAATACAGATAGTCCTCAAGTTACAACTCTTCATTTATTGACTGAAGATACGACAGACTCAGAAAAAAGTGACTTATGTAACCTGTTCTTGCACTTTGGATTATCGCACCACCCTTACAGTGACACATGCAATTAAGACACTTGGCAACCTGTCCATATTTACAACTGGTTGCAGGGTGCTGTGACCATGTGATATAAGAAGAATAAACTAGATTAGAATAGAATAGAATAGAATAGAATAGAATAGAATAGAATAATAGAATAGAATAGAATAGAATAGAATAGAATAGAATAGAATAGAATAGAATAGAACAGGAACAGGAACAGGAACAGGACAGGAAGGGACCTTGGAGGTCTTCCTGTCCAGCCCCCTGCTCAAGTAGGAGATCCTATACCCGTGATGGCGAACCTATGGCAGGTGTGCCACAGGTGGCACACAGAGCCCTCTCTGCAGGCACGCAAGCCATTGCTCCAGCTCCGCCCCACTGTGCATGCGCACACGCTTCCCGCCAGCCAGCTGGTTTTCGGGTCTCTGCCGCACATGCGCGTGGGGGGTGGGGGGAGCACAGAACAGGTAGAGAAGAGGATGAAATGCTCATCAAATTTGCAGATGACATAAAACAGTTGGAAGGTGCCTTAAGGTAGAAGTAAAAATTCAGAGCACTTACATGTAAGTTAAAGAAATGACCTGGAAATAATAGAACAAAATGTACAATTTATCATTTGGTTCCTAAGCAAGTTATCAGCCTATTCCCTAAGAAAGTTTAATCAAGAAACAGAAATGGGCACATGAAAGAATGGAGAATATCTGGTTTGCTAATTTAACTTCTAAAATGTATCTCAGAATAGCACTGACTGTAAATAAGTCAACAATGTAGAATGGCTACACAATAGGAAAATGTAACTTTAGGCTCCATCAACAGAAGCAGAGTTTCTAAATTATGGGAAGTAATTGTTGCATTTTATTTCATTTAGCTCAAACCACAGATGAAGTATTGTGTCCGGTTGTGGGTGCTACAATTTAAGTAGGATTTAACAAAAGAGGAAGCCTCCCTGTTCTACACATTTTCTTAAATTGCTGAGTAGAGAAGCTATTTTGAAATATTTCTAGGGCTGGAGATGAGAGGCAACTGGCAGTTTTTTACGCAAATAATATTGTTCTGCAGGAATGCTATCTGATAGTAGCCATACTCACGGTTACTAGTAACAAATGCATTTATCATGAACCGGTAACTAAATCAACAGTTAAATATAATGCTTTAATATCTTTACTGATGCCTTTTTTAGTTTTTTGTCTGGCCCAGAGTCCACTGGAAATGGGTGGAAAATACATCTTAATGAATGAGCCAATAAATAAAATACATTGGATAGATATATGATAGATAGATAGATAAATAGATAAATAGATAGATAGATGGAGGGACAGAGGGAGGAAGGGAGAGAGAGAAGAAGGGAGGGAGGGGGGGATGGTTGGGTGGATAGATGGATGAAGGAAAAGGAGAAAGGAGAGAGGAAAGGAAGAAAAATGAGAGGAGGGAGGAAAGGAAAGAAGGGAGAGGAAGAAGGAAAGAAATGGAGAGAGGAAAGGAGGAAATGGAGGGAGAGAGGGAGGCAGGAAAGAAGGAATGAAATGGAGAGAGGAAAGGAAGAAAAGGAGGGAGAGAGGAAAGAAGGAAGGAAAGGGAGAGAAGAAAGGAGGAAAAGGAGGGAGAGAGGAAAGAAGGAAGGAAATGGAGAGAAGAAAGGAAAAAAAGGAGGAAGAGAGGAAAGAAAGGAAATGGAGAGAGGAAAGGAAGAAAAGGAGGGAGAGAGGAAAGAAGGAAGGAAATTGAGAGAGGAAAGGAGGGAAAGAGGGAGGCAGGAAAGAAGGAAGGAAATGGAGAGAGGAAAGAGGGAAAAGGAGGGAGAGAGGGAGGCAGGAAAGAGGGAAGGAAATGGAGAGAGGAAAGGAGGAAACGGAGGGAGAGAGGGAGGCGGGAAAGAAAGAAGGAAATGGAGAGAAGAAAGGAGGAAAAGGAGGGAGAGGGAGGCAGGAAAGAAGGAAGGAAATGGAGAGAGGAAAGGAGGAAAAGGAGAGAGGGAGATAGGAAAGGAGGAAGGAAATGGAGAAAGGAAAGGAGGAAAAGGAAGGAAGGAAGGAAAGAAGGAAGGAAATGGAGAGAGGAAAGGAGGAAAAGGAAGGAAGGAAGGAAAGAAGGAAGGAAATGGAGAGAGGAAAGGAGGAAAAGGGAGGGAGAGAGGGAGGCAGGAAAGAAGGAAGGAAATGGAGAGAGGAAAGGAGGAAAAGGAAGGAAGGAAAAGAAAGAAAGAAAGAAAGAAAGAGAAAGAAAAAGAAAGAAAGAAAGAAAGAAAAAGAAAGAAAGAAAGAAAGAAAGAAAGAAAGAAAGAAAGGAAAGCCGTTAGATTTGCACTTGAGGCTCAGCCCAGCCTCCGGGAGAGCCTCCATGAAGCCCCTCAGAAGCCGAAGGGAGCCCAGCGGGGCGAGGGGAGCGTCGGGAAACCTCCTTCCTGCCGAACTCAAAAGCGCTGCCCGGCGCGACTCCCTTCCGCCTCGATCCGCCTGGCCGGTCCGGGCTCCCCTCAGCTCCGTCCCGCCGGCCAGGAGAGGGCGGCCGCGCATCGCCTCTTCTCTGCCGCCGCCGCCGCCGCCGCCATTGAAGCGCTGAGGGAGCGGAGCCGCGGGGCCTGGCGCCCTGGAGAGAGCCGCCGACCTCCGTCCCGCCGCCCCACCCAGCCGCTTCTTCCCCCGCAGAGCAGCCGGGGAGCCTCCTCCGCGCCCGCCGGCCTCCCCTCCGACGCTTCCGGTACGGTCGGTGGGCTCCCCGGGGCTGATCGGGGCCATCCGTCGCCTCTCCCGGGCGTTGCGGCGGACGGAGGAGCCCGGCCGAGGCAGAGGCGCTGCCCAAACTTTACGCCCAGTTGTTGTTGCTGCTGCTGCTGCTGCGTTGTTGACTTCTCTGCAGTTCTTCCGTTTTGTGCAGTAGGGCCCCAAAATCCACGGGAGTTTTGGGTGGCCAAAGACCTGAATGACTGAGCCAATCAATAAATAAGGCATTGAACAGTAAGATGATGATGATGATGATGATGAAAGATAGAGAGAGAGACAGAGATGATGAAGATAGATACCGGTAGGTAGAAAGATAGAGAGCGAGCGAAAGAGCGAGAGAGAGAGAGAGAGACAGACGGACGGACGGACAGACAGATGATGAAGATAGATACCTGTAGGTAGGTAGGTAGGTAGGTAGGTAGAAAAGAGAGAGAGAGAGATACCCGTAAGTAGGTAGGTAGGTAGGTAGAAAGAGAGAGAGAGGGAGGGAGGGGGGGATGGACGGACAGACAGATGATGAAGATAGATACCTGTAGGTAGGTAGGTAGGTAGGTAGGTAGAAAGAGAGACAGACAGACAGACAGAGATGATGAAGATAGATACCCGTAAGTAGGTAGGTAGGTAAGTAGAAAGAGAGAGAGAGAGATACCCGTAAGTAGGTAGTAGTTAGGTAGAAAGAGGGAGGGAGGGAGGGGGGGATGGACAGACAGACATGATGAAGATAGATACCTGTAAGTAGGTAGGTAGGTAGGTAGGTAGAAAGAGAGACAGACAGACAGACAGAGATGATGAAGATAGATACCCGTAAGTAGGTAGGTAGGTAAGTAGAAAGAGAGAGAGAGAGATACCCGTAAGTAGGTAGGTAGTTAGGTAGAAAAAGAGAGAGAGGGAGGGAGGGAGGGGGGGATGGACAGACAGACATGATGAAGATAGATACCTGTAAGTAGGTAGGTAGGTAGGTAGAAAGAGAGACAGACAGACAGACAGACAGACAGATGATGAAGATAGATACCCGTAAGTAGGTAGGTAGGTAGGTAAGTAGTAGAAAGAGAGACACAGACAGACAGACAGATAAACAGAGAGAGAGAGAGAGATGATGAAGATAGATAACCGGTAGGTACGTAGAAAGATAGAGAGAGAGGGAGGGGGGGATGGACGGACAGACAGATGATGAAGATAGATACCCGTAAGTAGGTAGGTAGGTAGGTAGAAAGAGAGACAGACAGATAGACAGACAGACAGAGAGAGAGAGAGATGATGAAGATAGATACCCGTAAGCAGGTAGGTAGGTAGGTAAGTAGGTAGAAAGAGAGACAGACAGACAGATAAACAGACAGACAGAGATGATGAAGATAGATACCAGTAAGTATAGGGAGGGAGGGAGAGAGAGAGAGAGGTAGTAAAGGAGGAAGGAAGGAAGGAAGGAAGGAAGGAAGGAAAGGGAGAAGAAAGAAGGAAAAAGGGAAGGAAGGAAGAGAAAGAAAGAAAAAGGAAGGAAGAAAAGAAAGAGGAAGGAAGAAAGGAAGGAAAGAAAGGGGTCCGATGAATGTGCTGCAAACCTTTCGGCCAACCATGGTTTGCAGACTGCGATGGCAAAGCCAAAGCCAGGTGGTGTTGCATCTTAGTTGTTTGAAGTGCGCTATAATGGAACCAAACCATAATGGGTTGTGTATAGCAAGTATTGCGGGCCCAACTGGCAAAAGAAAGGTCAGGACCGTATAGATTGGAAACATGCAGAAGAGGCCTTCATCCTGCAATGGATAGACAGTGGTTAAGATGATGATGATGATATAGGTTAGCATAGCGTGTTTCTGGCCACTGTGGCCATATAAACCAGATTTTGTGGCTTAGTATCAGCCATGTATAAATCATGATTTAACATGGTTTGCTATACAAGTAGTCCTCAACCTACGACCACCATTGACCCCAAAATTTATGTTGCTAAGTAAGACATGTGTTAAGTGAGTTTTTGCCCCATTTTACGACTTTTCCTGCCACCGTTGTTAAGTGAATCATTGCAGTTATTAAGTTAGCCACACGGTTGTTAAGTGAATCTGGCTTCCTCAATGATTTTGCTTGTCAGAAGGTCACAAAAGGGGATCGCATGACCCCGAGACACCGCTACCGTCATAAATATGAGTCAGTTGCCACGCGTCCGAATTTTGATCATTTGATCACTGCAGGATGGTTAATGGTGATAAGTATGAAAAGCGGTCATAAGTCCCTTTTCTCAGTGCGGATGTAACACTACACCGTCCTTAAACAAATGAACTACCTGTTCGTGCCATCAGGTTTGCAAAGAAGGTGTCCTCAACTTATAACAGTTTGTTTAGTGACTGTTGCAGCCTCCCCATGGTCACATGATTAAGATTGTAAAATGGGAGCAAAACTCACTTAACAACCGGCTTGCCTAGCAATGGAAACTTTGAGCTCGATTGTGGTCGAAAGTCGAGGACGACCTCTAGGGAGTGGTGGTATTGAGCTGGTTCTATCAGGTTCGGGCGAATTGGTAGTGGCGGCTGCGGGAGGCTCTGCCTACCCACCCGGATGTCATCATGTCCTATTTTTGACGCTCTGCGTGAAAGGGCACGCGCACCAGAAAACACATGCCTGTTTTCTGGCCATTTTTCTGGCCGTTTTCAGACTGTTTTCAGTGTTTTCAGACCGGTTTCTGGGCCGATTTCAGGCCGTTTTTTGGGCCATTTCAGCCCATTTTTCAGGCCTGAAAAAAATGGCCCTGAAAATGGCCTGAAAACAGCCCAAAAATGGCCCAACAAAGGCCTTTTTTTGGCTGTTTTCAGGCCATTTTCCAGTGCTCCGGCACCTGCGAATATCAGCTGGCCAGTGCGTGCCCACAGAAGAGTAGCTGGCGATGGTGTGCGTGCCCACAGAGAGGGCTCTGCGTGCCACCGGTTCACCATCATGGCTTTAGGCCTGTGATGGCGAACCTATGGCACGCGTGCCACAGGTGGCACGCGGAGCCATATTAGTGGGCACGCCAGCTCAGCTCTGGGGCGCATGCGTGCGCCAGCCAGCTGATTTTTGGGCCTTCTGGGCCCACCAGAAGTAGGGAAACAGGCTGTTTCCTGCCTCTGGAGGGCCTGGGGGGGGGGGAAGACCCGTTTTTCTTTCTTACCTGGCTCCAGATCCTCTCTGTGTATCTGGGAACGGCGAAAACAGCCTTTCCCACCCCCTTGGAGGCCCTACGGAGGCTGAAAGGGCCCATTTCCCGACTCCCAGTGGGACAGGAAGTGACGTTTTTTCCTGTCCCCAGCCTCCAGAGACTCCTAGAGAGGCTCCTACAGACTCCTAGAGAGGTTCTGGAGGCTGGGGACAGCAAAAAATGTCACTTCCTGTCCCAGCGAGAGTTGGGAAATGGGCCCTTTCAGCCTCCGTAGGGCCTCCAAGAGAGTGGGAAAGGCTGTTTTCGTCCTTCCTAGATACACAGAGAGGATCTGGAACCAGGTAAGAAAGAAAAACGGGCCTACCAGGCCATCATGTGCCAGGAGGGGGGGGGGAGGGGGTTGCGCACGCATGTGCGTGGGCACATGTGCGCGCGAACCTCCCCCGCCCCCCCTTTCCTGGCACGCGATGGCAAAAAGGTTAGCCATCACTGCTCTAGGCCTAGCTAGATCTCCGGCACCATTCGGAAGATCAAAAGTGAACCCATCTGCCTACCATCTTGTTTTCTAGAAGACCTGTGGCTAAATCTCAGTTGGCCAGGATTGAGCAAAGCAGAAAAGAGATGAAACAAGGAAGGCAAAGAACCGCCAGGTCCCATCACGAAGGACCAGAAGATGTCGAAAACTTGAGCTGTGCTGTTCGGCTGGAATATACGGCAGACGGTTTACAAGGGGCCGGATCTCAAGAGGGCCAAAGGGAGACTTGCAAGACGATGCAACAGCGCTGGGAAACCCAGTGGCAAGAGTTCCTCAGGACACTTCAACCCAATCAACCCGGGGCAGGAAATCCTATTCCCTCAGAGGCCTCACCCTGGGAAGACCCCAAGGCCTTCTTGGCTTCCTTTGAGCAGGTGGGCCAAGCCTGCCGTTGGCCCAGAGGAGAGTGGGTGGCCCGTCTCCTTCCCGCTTTGAGCGGAGAAGCTGAGGAGGCTTTCCAAAGCTTGGAACCCAGAGACCGGGAAGACTACGCCAAAGTGAAGGCCGCCATCTTGAGAGAGGAAGCCATCAAAATGGAGGCGCAACGCCAATACTTCAGGCAGTTCTGCTGCCGGGAGGTGGAAGATCCCCGAAGGATCCACAGCCAACTCCAGGAGCTTTGCCACCAGTGGTTGAGGCCGGAGAGACGCACTAAGGAGCAGATTCTGGAGCTGCTGATCCTGGAGCAGTTCCTGGCCAGCCTCCCATCGGATCTCCAGAGCTGGATCCGAGCTGGTGGACCGGACACGTGTTCCCAGGCGGTGGCTCTGGTGGAGGACTTCCTGTTGAACCAGCAGGAGGACGAAACCAGGAAATGGCAGGTCAGTTTTCATTTCTGGAGTTATTTTTTACGACGCGGAGTTGGATTCATAATCAGTCCTCGACTTATGACTGCAACTGAGCCCAAATTTTCCATTGCTGAACAAATTTTCCATTGCTATACAAACATATTGTTACAGTAACTAAGTCGTGTTCCATTTTACAGCCTTTTTTGACATGGTTGCTTGTTGTAAATCAGAGGTCCAGGCTTTTGCTCTGGTCCGAGAGCTTTATTTTTTATACAGTTTTACACAAGCAGATAAAAGGCAGGACAGCAACAGTGTTGGACAAACTATTCACCCCCCTCTCAAGATGCCATCTAGATGAGATGAGATAATACAGATCAGAGCCAAAATGAGATCATAGGTATGAGCTAAGGGAGTGTGCTGCTCTTAGTCTGACCTTTGATCTACCTTTACAGTTGCTAAGTGAATCATTACAGTTGTTAAGGGAAGCCTGCAGCTGTTAAGCCAACCGGCTTCTCCCATGGACTTTGCTTGTCAGAAGCTCCCTAGGAACATTGCAAATGGCGATCACTTGAACCCAGGGGGCTGTAACCATTGTAAAATACATGCCAATTGCCCGGCACCCAAAGTTTGCTTGCATGATTGGGGAATGCTGCAATGGTCATAAGTGTGAGAACTTGTCATTAGTCACTTTTTTTCTGTGCCGTAAGATTGAACGCTCATTAAACAAATGACTGTAATAGTGGTGGGTTCCTCCTGGTTCGGCCTGGTTTGGCCGAGCCGGTAGCGGTAACGATATGACATCACTGAACTGGTTCTCTTTGTTCGGGAGATGCCCCCCCTCCGCCCCCCAGTTATTCTTACCTTTTATTTGGCCCCGCCCCCAATCTATTCGCTGCCTCCCGAGTCCCAGCTGATTGGCTAGAAGGGAAAAAAACTTTAAAATCTTGCCGCGGGGTTTCAAAGGGCCGCCCTACAGCTGATCAGTGTTAAAAGGCAGTGTGGTGGTAGACCAGTGCACTCAAAAAACAAATGGGTAGACCGGTACAGCTCTGCAAGCAGTTAAAAGCCTGGTAGACCAGTACCTCCGCTAAATCCTAAAGAATTGTCACATGACCATCAAACCACACCCACAAAATAAGCCACGTCCACAGAACTGGTAGTAAAAATTTTTAGAACCTGCCTCTGGACTGTAAATCAAGAATTATTTGTACATGTAGCTTCCCAAAGGTGCTTTTTCAATAGGCAACTGGACTTCCTTTGTTTTGCATGAAGACATTTGAAACCATGGTTTGAGAGAGGGCTCAAAGTGGCCATCTAGAGCCGTGGCTGTGCAGTAATTAAGAGTGCAGTACTGCAGGCTGCTTCTGCTGCCTGTCGGCTGCCTGCGCAATTTGGCAGTTCGAATCTCACCAGGCTCAAGGCTGACTCAGCCTTCCATGCTTTCTAAGGTAGGTAAATTGAGGACCCAGTTTGTGGGGGCAATAAGCTGACTTTGTATAAATATACAAAAATATGAAGGCTATTGCTTAACGCATTGTAAGCCACCCTGAGTCTCCGGAGAAAGGCGGCATATAAATTGAACTAATAAATAATAAGTAATAAAATAAAAGAATGGAAACGACGAGCTGCCTGCAAGGCGTATAAATCCTCTCTGCCATTCAGTCAGAACTGAAGATGCTTCTTGGATGAGAAATGAAACTTCTTCAAGGAAAACCTCACCTTTTGAAAAAAGCACCTTTGGGAAAACCATGACCTAGATCAGCAATGGCTAATCTTTTTGCTGCCGAGTGCCGAAAGCGTGTACGCACACCCATAATGCAATGCATGCACAACCCCCGCCCACTCATGCACGTCTAATCCCCCTATGTACACTCCCCACGCATGCACGGCGACCCCTGCCTGTGCGAGGCCCCCTGTGCATGTCCGCGCGTCTCCCGCAAGTGCCCTGCGTGTCAAGTTTCGTGGTCGTCTCGAATAAAATCCATTTCAAACAAAATCTTTGAAGAAAAAACTCCTTTTTATTGAGCACGACATCCTAACCTGACTCCAAATGAAGCCAACTCTGACGTCCAGCCCCAAAACCCTCCCTTTCCGTTCCCCACTCCCTTGCACTCATTGGCCATCTTCCAAGTCATTCTACCCCTAATCTACTCCAACTCAAAGGAATTCCCCCCTCCCATCTCATCTCCTCGGAAACATTATCTCCAGGGAAAATAAGTAGGTGAAAAGTCAGCCGTCCCTTTCCAGATGCCTTCGCTTCTCCTTCTTATGTCAGCACTAGAGTAAATGCAGGTTGAAGTGCTGACATCGCGCATGTGTGGCAGAGACTCAAAAACCAGCTGGCCCGCGGGAGTTGTGTGCACATGCGCGGTGGAGCTGAGCTGCGGCGATGGCTTGCGTGCCCGCAGAGAGGGCTATGCATGCCATAAGTTCGCCATCACGGACCTAGGTGATTGAGAATTTTCGTAGACAATTGGCAAAGGATTGTGAGAATCTGGCCAGTGTGTTTTATGACTAACCTTTTTGCCATTGCATGCCAGGAAGGCGGGGGGGGTTGGGGGAGGTTCACGTGTGCGCACACCCATAATTCTATGCCCCCCCCTGCGCATGCGCACGCAACCCTCTCCCCCCCCCCCGCTCCTGGCACGCGATGGCCTGGTAGGCCCATTTTTCTTTCTTACCTGGCTCCAGATCCTCTCTATGCATTTGGGAAGGGCGAAAACAGCCTTTCCCACTCCCTCGGAGGCCCTCCGGAGGCCTGAAAGGGCCCATTTCCCAACTCCCAGTGTTATGGAATGATGGGACCAAACAACATTCCTGGGTCAGCCAGAGACAGTTTTATTGCGCAATTTCAGAATCAGATTTGTATCTGCAATTCTGAACAAAGGAAGAGTTCTGATACAACTGCTTTTATACATATCCAAGACAAAGGATTTTGCTGGCACATCAGTTTTCCATATATGGTTAACATACATTTGTTACATGATAATTGACACTTTTTAATTACTAAATTCCTACATTAATTTATAGTACATGAGATAATCTTAGCTAAACATCCTCCTCTTCTGTAATCACTGATGCATAGATTAATGGCTGGCCTTGGATTAATAAGTAACTTTTTGTTTCTTATGGATGTCCTTGTATCCTTGACAGCTAGGCCCCCTCAGAAGATATATATTACCAAGAATGGAATTTAGCTGACTTAGTGTAATTTCTAAACAAGCACATTTCTTTCTTATAATAATGTGAATAGAGAGGGTCCTCCAGTGTTCATATAGCTGACCCTGTACTATTCCTACACCATTCACATTACCAGTGGGACAGGAAGTGACGTTTTTTGCTGTCCCCAGCCTCCAGAGCCTCTCTAGGAGCCAGGTAAGAAAGAAAAACGGGCCTCCCCCCCCCAAAGGCCCTCCAGAGGCAGGAAACAGTCTGTTTCCCTACTTCTGGTGGGCCCAGAAGGCCCGAAAATCAGATGGCTGGCACGTGCATGTGCCCCAGAGCTGAGCTGGCATGCCCACTGATATGACTAAGCGTGCCACAGGTTCGCCATCACGGACTTAATGGCTTCCATGATCATCCAATAATAATTTACTGAACCAAGCATGGTGTTCTTTGCAAACCCAGCCAGAAGTTAGGGGGGTTTTTTTGGCATTATATTTTAGGGATGGATGGAATCTGTAAAATCCCCGCTGAAACTCTCAACCCAGTCTTGGAAGTGCCAAATGCAACTTCTCCACCCTCCAGATGTGATGGGACAATTTCTCTCAAGCTTCCTTGCCAACGTAACATTCCTCTTTGTCTCACAGCAGCCCTGCAAACTGAGCTTTGTGTTTCCAGTTACTCCCCACAACCAAAAAGAAAAGAAAAATAAGAAAGTAGTCTGCTCTTTTTAAAAAGAAATCCTAATACGTAGCAGATGTAAAAGGAAAGGCAACCACTGGATCTTGGTTGTATATTTCTATCCAGGCAGCCCCACTTCTAAATCTGGCAGAAGTTTCCAGCTTTTGACTTTGGATGAGGCGGACGTGTCTTAACACCTTCAGGATAGTTAAGAAATGCATAGGATACGGTGATGAGGCATGGTTAGAATGCAGTATTGCAGGCTGACTCTGCCCACTGCCAGCAGTTTAATTCTGACCAGCTCAAGGTTGACTCAGCCTTTCATCCAGTAAAATGAGGGCCCAGATTGTTGTTGTGGGAAATAGGCTGACTCTGTAAACCACTTAGAGGGAGCTGTAAAGCATTGTGAAGCGGTATACAGGTAGTCCTCGACTTATGACAACAATTGAGCCCAAAATTTCTGTTGTTAAGTGAGAAATTTGTTAAGTGTGTTTTGTTTTTTGTTTTTTTGCTTTAATTTACATGCCGCCCTTCTCTGGAGACTCAGGGCGGCTTACAATGCGTTAAGCAATAGCCTTCATACTTTTTGTATATTTATACAAAGTCAGTTTATTGCCCCCATAATCTGGGTCCTCATTTCACCTACCTTTGAAAGGCTGGAAGGCTGAGTCAACCTTGAGCCTGGGGAGATTTGAACTTGCAGTAATTGCAAGCAGCAGATGTTAATCTGTTAATAACAGTGCTTTAGTCCACTGTACTACAGGCTCCTAAGTTTTGCACCATTTTATATGACTTTTTTTGACACGTCTGTTAAGTGAATCTGCAGTTGTAAAATTAGTAACACGGTTGTTAAGTGAATCTGGTTTCCCCATTGACTTTGCTCATCGGAAGATCCCAAAAGGGGGTCAGATGACTCCGGGACACTGCAACCGTCATAAATGTGAATCAGTTGTCAAGCATCTGAATGTAAATCATGTGATCATGGTCATAAGTCACTTTTTCCAGTGCTGTTGTAACTTTGAACGGTCACTAAGCAAACTGTTGTAAATCGAGGACTACCTGTATAGCTTGTTTGGCATCATAGAATGTCATGAGGACTAGTGAGATACTCAGCATTTTTGTAAAAAGGAATACTAGAAATAACGGTATGAGGATAAACCACTGATTCTAGAGTCTAGAGTCCTCTGGTG